AGGACTTGTTCCGAGAGCAACAGTGGCTTGAGACAGCCATCGATTATGAAACACATCCAAGGTGGAAAAGGCGGGCTGAGCTAGTAGCTAGGGCTGTGTGATGGTGGCTTCCATCCATCACACCAACACGGGCTGTCTCCTACGCAGAGAAACTATCTGCGGGTGGCTGCTTCTCAGGGCTTGACCGGGCGCCGGACGCTGCAGTTTCTGCACTATTGCAGGCCCCGTCTCTGAATACGGGCCCGATGCTCGGTACCGCGCTGTCGGCGGCATGCAGGCAGACACGACACTCCATCACCGTCGCTGAGCGCCACTCGAGCCAATGCCCGGGCGTTCCATGCAGTCTCGTCCCTTCTCTTCCTGCTCTACCGTTGCTGACCTGCATCAGCCAGATGTACAGATCCTCCATGGATGCCATCATACTTTTTCTCTTATGCACTTTGCCGCACCGAACCGTCCCATGCCGTGCCCTGGAGAGGGGAGTGGAGCGCGTTGTTCTGGCACTTCTGTCCCCTCCTGGCATGGAAGGTCTATGCAGGCCTTACTCACCTCTCCTGTCCATGGCTAGGTCCTTATGATGTGAGAGCTCGCCACGATCGCTTCTGGGTGTGGTGGGCTGTCAATTAACTAGACAGCCCAGGCTTTTCCAGACCCTGAGCTACCCGCAATAGGCTGGTGGATTCTAAATTCGGGCCCCTTCGCCTCTCCCACACCTTTGCGTTGCATTCCAGCCCAGCGATGACAATCTTAAATTTTAAAAATAAATTAATTTCGTGGACAGGATGGTAGCTCACCCCAAGAAAAGGGTGAGCGATCGTCTGGGGCGCACGTGGTTCAGTTCCAACGAACGATCTCACGAACGACCTCACTCACGGCTTAGTCGTGCTCTCACATGGAGAAGGGGCGCACGGGTAAGCATTATGCGACTGCGGACCACATGAGACGGTCGATCCAGGGGGTGGGAGAGAAGAAAAGACCGCCTCTTTCGCGCGCGGGACGATGGATGGTCTTTGGGTTTACGGCGCCGCACAGTTCTGGACGCGCACAGTCTTACCTCTGAACTTTGCGTCCTGATATCGCAGGTGGAGCAATAATCGCAAAGCCTGCATTGCATTGTACCCATCGACCGCTGCATCTCATTGTGCGCCAGCCAGTCGGTGGGTAAGATGCAGGTAGGTACCAGTTCTATGCAATGTTTGCAGCACGGTGATGCTGCCATTATGCGATGTGTGTTCAGCGCACACTCTGGCGGAAAAAATTGTTGCCTGCATGGGTTCGCACACCACACACACAATCTAATATCCATTCATTCATGTATTATGTACGCAAAGAGCCCAGCAAAAAGAAGGTGGTGCCAAGGATCTGTCGCCGGTAATTTACTGTCAGCACGCGTTCGCACTCGGCGATTCGCACAATCATTATTAGACAGATGATTGACGCGGTTCAAATCTCTGCCAAATTACCACTACACCAAGCCAGAGAGCCAACGGCCTAGTGGGACGCTCATCACCAACAAGGGCAGGCTAAGAACTGCGCGTACAGATAACACAACGATAGTTGCCTCTAGATGTGAATGTGGGAATAGATGAAGCCAGCGCGCAGCACTGGTATGTAAGCGGGTTTCTGGCGGAACATACCGCCTCAATATTTGCGCACCGGCGAGAGTCTGTGGCTTCCATCTCCAGCCAGGCTGCGGGTGGAAGATGGAGGAGGACAGGGATGGCCAACGCCTGCGCAACGGCCTAGCAGAAGCGACGACAAGGTTGGATCCTGCTGCGAAGGGCACTAATGGCCAGGCTTGATCGCTGGAGAGTTGCGATTGGGTGGCGGGTGTCCGTTCCGGTCGGAAGCCTCTGGTGCAGAGACAGACCAGCTTGATATGGGAAACTGGGCCGGCATCCGTGGGCTCCTGCTGGGACACAAGACCCAGCACGACTCTCAGCACCTCTCGCAACTCAGACCTCGAGATAGGTAGTAGCTGTGTCGGACATGAACCCAGACGCCCCTTGTCTCCCTCTTGACCAAGAGCCCGGCAGGATCTGTGGCGATCGGATGCTTGGGGAATGCTTCATCCCGAGCACACACGCTACCCACGATTGATCTTGTGGCAATAGCAACACGCTTCGCACTTTATTTGTCTATTTCCCAACTATGGATTGCTAGATCCGATCCAGCTCCCTCCATCACCACATCCGCGAGAGCTTTAGAACAAAAGAACCCCTGGCACTTTTCCTTCCCAAGTCTAGCGCAAGGATTCGCGCTCGAGAAGGCCACCATCCGTCATGCACATCGTATTACACCGGTCTGCACATACGGTACGCCTATCGTGACGTATCGTGCCAAAACGCAACCTACATACATGACATGTACATATACGAACTGACATGTCGGCCGAAGAGGGCTGCAAAGTTCAGTCTAGATCGGTCTCTTATTATCTCTCGCAGCGTATTGGTTGATCAAAGCGCTAATATTGAGTGTTCATGTCAAATCACAATTGCCAGAGCTCTGGGGCGGTGCCTATGGGGATGCATTCCCCCAGTTTACTTGAGCAATAAGAAAGCTGATGCATCTCGAAAAGCCACATGGCTGCAAGGCTTTGCATCATATCACACTGCAGACTCTGTCCGTTTGTTGAAGACGGGTCAATATTCTACCCGTTATAGGTCCCTACCCGCATGATACGAGTCTGCATAGGCAGCTCTTGATGCGTTGCGACTGTATGACGCAGGTCCCAACGGATCTGGCTCAGCCTTCCAGCTTAGTTGCCACCTCCGGCCTATTAATTTTCGATTTGCATATTGCCCAAGGCCGAGGAGGGTGCATTTCAGCTGTGCCAAATCCCGCGTCTATTGCATTGCTTGCGTCGGGCCTCGGGGGGATTGGACCCAGCCGCATAATTTCGTTACGGCCCCGAGGGGTACTTTCTTGCTGTTGGTGATACCAGTCCCTGTTGGTTTCTCCGGTCTTCTCTGGCCTACTGCTGCCAGCCATCGCCGGGGAGACATCCCATTTGGCGAGGAGTGCCTAGGGCATTGTTTAGCCACTAGGTACGCGTCCACCTGTCAAAAACTTTCCGCCCTTCGCCTCCCGGGAGAGCGGCAGCTATACCTCGCCGACCTATATCAGAAGTGCCAGGCAGCATGGGTCGTTATCGTTGGATGTAACAAGACAGGTTGGGGTCCCCCAGTCGGGATCCGACCTCCAGCAGGTGTCGGCCAACAATCAGCTCGCGCCCTGTTGCGGGACGGGAAGGATGGGATAGCCTCTCACAACCGCCCGGTAAGGTAGGTGAGTGCTTGGGATGGGTTGGCACAATGCACAAAACCACGCGTTCCTGACTCCAGGGTATTTCCTTGGGGTGGCCACGTTGGACAATGGAAGTTCGTCCGATATGTGGAGAGTCATACGCAAACACGCACGCACGCCATCATCACTCAGTCCTCCTCAGTGCTGGGATCGGGCAGGTGCACTGATTGTTTTGCAGCCCTCGCCTTTCTACATCGGGAAGTTGTCCATCGTGATGGTATTTATATCGACCGCCGTCAAGGCGGATTTATGGATCGAGGCGAAGAGGTTCAATCAAGGCCGCGTCTATTGTGCACGTGAGAGACCGATGTTGCCTTCGAGGATTCGCCATGGCGACATGGGTTCTGAGGCCTGCCTGCAGGACTCCATCGCGCAGCCTGCAGCTTCTTGCCAGCCTACCTAATCGCACATTTCGTGGCGATCTTCTGTGACCCAGGGCATGGGAAAGGGCTGTTGGACATTTCCATGTAGACATTAGAGAGACGAGTCACTAGTGCCTTGTCCAACGGGATTGGGCTCATCGTCCGGCATGGCGAGCACGCACCAGGATCTCAAAGGCAAGGGCCAGACGCCGACATCAAGCCGCAGGATTTGATTCCTTTTCCTTTTCCTGGGACGCGATCCCATCCAGCATAGTGCCACTTGGTCGAGCCCGGCCAGTGCCATGCCATGACATGCCATGCGGCTCTAGCTCTAGCCCAGTGACACACAGCGGCCAGAGCACGGGTCGAATGAGTGAGGCTGGGCCGTTTTCTGTCGCCGCCGAAGATCTCGGAGCCCAAGAGGCCACCGGCGTGTTTTGGATTTTCCGCGTTAGCTCGTAGCCTGCTAGCCCGCTGCTGATCAATGAACATCCTCATCTCGCTGACCTGCCCTCGCATTCCCCGCCGGCTGCGGCTTGCAGAAGGAGCCGGCCAGGGCCCCGGTACAGGCCGGGTGCCCTGGGCAGGTTTTCTTTAATGTGTTCTGTTCGAAAAGGGCACAGTAGATGCCGCGGCTCTCCCATTGACGCTTTTATCTGGCGTGTAATCTTCCCACAAAGTTCCACGGGGAGGGGGAGGAATCCTGCTGGCGACTGTTCTGCCTGATTGGGTCTTGCGCGTCTAAATCTCGTGGGCCATGTGGGATCATGTACGGCGACTATTGGGGAAACACCATGGAACATGCTCACGCTTCTCCGGAATCCTTCTGATCGGAAACCGCGCAGCCAACCTCTCGCAGCGCCTTTAAAAATAATCGAAACCCGGTCAGTGTAGAGTCAGCTAGCGAGCTTTTGGTAATGGTTACGAGCGAAGAGGCCCAATACATAGGGTAAGCGGGCCGAGAGGAGTAGGTAGGTATGTGAAATCTATTATAAAATCGATATGGCTTGCTTTGATAGACAGCAGCACGACAGTTTTCGTCTGCTGAATACAGAATTAGTGAGCTGATATAGGGCCGCCTGGCAGCCAAACCCCGTGAGTTTGTCCTCCCCTCGCATGTGTTGCCAAAAGGCCGCCGCGTACTATTTCCAATCCCGGGGTGTGTTTGCCTTTGTCTGGCGGTTTTTTCTCGCCCCCAAGACGACGATGATTAGAAGAAAAGACAAAAACTGTCGCTTGCTCATGCAAATCTAATTATCAGCCACCTGCCACCCAGATATGTTCCTTCGTAGTCCCCTTCGTAGTCTCATCCTCACATTCCCCTCCCCCCGTCTAGTTTGTCGGACCTGCCGGTGTATCAAAGTAATCTCCACGCTCAACGTCAGCGTTCGCGTCAGATTTCCGCTTCTTTCTCTTCGGTCGGAAGAAGTCGCCTATCGCGTCGCTGACGCTGCGGGACCTCGTGCGCGAGTGCTGTTGGTTGTGCTGGATGAGGTTGTCGTGGTCCCGGTCATCGTGCTCCCCGTCCTCGTTGTCGCGATATGGTTGGAAGCCGGGAACCCCCGCCACCAGGTCACCTTCGGAGGCGTGCCCTATGCCCTCCAGCACAGGCCCTCCCTCATCCTCGTTAAAAAAGAGGCTGGCTCGGATTCTCGACCGGAGCTGCCGCATGGAAGACTTGTATGTGGGAGCGGCGGCGTCGTCGTCCCGGTAGAGCAGACCATCCTTCATCACGGTGGTCACGGTGGACGCGAGGGGTGATGGGGATATGAACGTCCCTGAGCGATTCTTCTTGTGGCCTGGTGCGTAGGTGCTCGCTCGGTTTTGGGGTGTCAGGCCCGGCTCTGCATGCAAACCCATGATGAGCCGATCATCTCGGTTTGGAGTCGTAGGGTGCGACCGGTTGGGTGAGGAAATTCCTGTAGGGCCCCTCAGAACAGAATCTGCTGATAGAGTTCTGATTCCCCTGCGAGGAGGCGTTGAAGGTGCGCCGGTCCAGGGGTTGAACAGCGTTGAACCGGTATCCCCCTCCAGCGACCCTGATGTAATGTGAGGGATGTCCGCATCACTGTGATCCAGGTCTAGGAGCATTGGTCTCTCCTCGTGGGGCAACTCGACATTTGGATTGTCGAAGTAGTTGGCCCGTGACTGCTCACTCGGCCGACGAGTTCGCGTAGCAGTCGTTGAACCGGGAGTGTCCGGTGTGCGAGGCACAGACTCGTGGTTTCCATCCTGGTTTTCGAGACCAATAGTCTCTTCCACACCGTCGACTTCTGACAGACAATCCTCGTCGTCATGAGCGGGCTCTCGCCCGCTTGTGATAAGAAACACACCGAAGAACGTGAGAAGACACCCGCCGATGAATTTGCCTGCCTGCTCCCTTGTGGTTTTCTCGAAATCACGATATAATACAGCACTCCCCACAATGACACATAGAGTGAACATGACGAACTGAATTGGGATGACTTGGGTTGAATCAAATCGTTGCAAAGACTTATTGACGTAACGAATCTGCATGATGGCAGTTCCGAGGAGGATGAGAATCAGGGCGTAGGTGACTGGCGTCGTGAATGCTCTCCATAATGTAGAAGACAGCATTGATGAGACACCCTTTGTAGCCAGTGCAGTATAGCCTCCTATTACATGTGAGCCAATGAACTAGGAAAAGTATCTCAGTATTAGGAAACGCATGGAAGTACGTACCGAAAAGACCGACAAGCCCCAGGTCGATGAGGATAGTCTGTCTCCCATACTTCGGGCTTGCCCACATGAGCAATATGATGAGGGCCACTGTTACGGAAAGATATATCTCAAAGGGTAGGCTCGTGATGGCGTCCCAGACATCGTCGGGCTTGAGCTTGGTTTCTTCGGTATTGGCGCTTAGCACGACGGTGACTACGCCACCGACAGCTACAACAACCCCCAAGAAGTCGCGCTGACGAAATTTCTCATGGAACATGAGGGGGGCGATCAGGCAATTTGAGACCAATGCAACAACACCCAGTGGAGAGACAATTGATGCGGGCGCAAATCCATATGCCAAGAAATTTCCCATTTCGCCCAAGGTGATCAGAACCTGGCCCAGCCACCAGTAGGGAGATTTGAGGTACGTCGACGTCTCCTTGGGCTGCTCGTCATCTTCGCCTGGAGTCTCCTCGGTCGATATCGTGGAGTGAGTCGAGGCATTCAACGGGTCCGTCTCGTGGCTATCTCCGACGGCGCTATCATTGTCGTGATAGCCTGACTGCCCGCCGTGATCATCGTCCTTGTAGGTGCCATTCGCCACGCCATTGCCATCCCCATCCACGGTGCCATATGATCTTGAGTGGCTGCCGTTCTGAGCCCGTCTCATCGCAGCCTTCGCTCGTCTTCGAACCGAGATGCGCTGCTTGTGAAGTCGGGTGTGGGCGTATCGCTGTACGTTGAGAGCTAGAGCGATCAGCATGTTGCCAACGATGGCTGTCACAATGCCAATGAGCGAAGACCATTCCTGGAGCGTCTCTCCGCCATTGCCGTCCTTCCCGCCTCCATCTTTGCCGCCGGAGAACGTGCCATTCCTGTGTCCGGATGCAATCGGGAAGGACGACCACGGAAGGCCTGGATGTGCTGTCGACATTGGTAGCGAGGTTCCTCCTGACAGCCTCATAGGTTGACCGAGACTGCCGAGAGGGATTTGGGACCCGACCGTTGCCTGAGAGGCTGGTCAATAAAGTTGGTTGCCAGGAAAGTTGTCTGTCGAGGTATCATCGGGAGGCGCCGCTAGTCCGTGGGGAAATGAATGGACCGAGTACCTCCTATCAACGTCATGAACGGGAAAAAGCTGCAGATGCGAAGTAAGATGAGTTAAAGCAAGAAGCAACGGCCAAAACAGAGATGCACAAAAGCAGAATAGCTTGCTGGAGGCGTGTCGCGATAGAGATGAGATATTATGGCCCGGCCATGGTGTGTCTGTCTAGTCGTAATGACGGCGGCTTCTTGGCATCGTGCGTTCATTTCGCAGTCGACTTCGCCTTTTTCCCTTGACCTGGCTTCTTTTGCCGTAACGGCGGGACCAAGCCACAACCCCGAGCCCGCGCGGCCAAACAAAACGTTTGGTTTTCGCTTGGGCGCCACACCTCAGATCCCGCAAGCCAAGGGAAGTGGGGCTTGGACAGGAAATTACGTAGTGGTGCAGTGGCCCCGGGGCATGCGCTGGCTGGGGGCTCTCATTGACTGGCTGTTGGTTGCGTACCCGTACCCTGGACTGGCGACCCCCTTGGAGGCCGATAAGCCGATAAGCGATAAGACAGGGAATCTTCGAGTATGCGACATCATGTGTGCCTTTCCGACCAGCCAACCAAACTCAGCTGTTTTGCCGCATCTTAAGTGAGTTGCATTAACATACGTTCCTGTGGCATCTCCGCATCTTCTCTCTTCTTCTCTGTACATTATTTCCCATCGACTCATCCTCCCTACATCGCATCTTCTCTTCTCATCTTCCCAGTGAGACAGATTATCTGCCCCATTTATCTGGATCAAGGATTGCCTCAACGCTATTGCTCGTATATCCCACACATATATCATGGGTTCCGACGGCAATAAGGACGATTCCTCCTCAAATCCCTTTGTTCAATTTAAGCACCATGTCGATTCCAACGTTTCATTCGGGTTCAACACAATGATCGGTAATCAGCGTGGTGGCTCTTCCGTAGCCGCTCAACCAGAAAATCAATACCAGCCCAGCGCTGGAGAAGCTTTAAGCCTCAGATCTGTTCTATTTTCGCAATATTCCCCTGCTGCCCTCAGACAACTCCCACGGCCCGTACCAAATGATATCCCCGATGACGTAGACCGAAGCACCTTTACCTTCGAAGATGCCTTTGAGGACTTGCTCGCTATCTCCCAAGGGCAAGACCTGCCCGAGATGACGCAAAAACTTCAACAGAAGAACCTCCTTCAGAAAATGTTTCCGGAGGGAGAGCCCTTCTGGTTCTGGCATAGAAGACTTCGAGCCTCGGGCCTGCTTGGGAGCTACACCACAGATCACAAATATGTGGACCAACCAGACTGGGACGGCTTCCATCAGGAGCTAGACCGGAAGGCAGAGGATGTTTGGGGACGCACTGTGCTTGGTCCATTGCAGGCTATCAAGGCCATCGGAAACATCTGGGACGAGATTGAGCGATCGGCCGACGACTTTGATCGTTATGTTAAGGACAAGGGGTGGGACAACCGCCAGATTGCCAACCCCGATACCTTCGATGAGCTGTTTGAGTCAATCCAGTCGGCCTACAATTCTGGCCAAAGATCCTGGGATACTTTTATGAAGACTATCACTGATAGCCAAACTCCAAACGATCAGGCACAGGCCCCAGAGCCGCAGAATAAGGTGATCGAGGACCGCAACGAGTATGTTGATAGGTTTGGCTACGTCCATAGCAAAGTTACGCGCAAGGAACTCGACAGTGATGGGAACGAAGTCAGCAGCTCGACCAGCTACCAGATTTACCCTGCTCCCAAGGACAAGAATCCACAAGAACAAGGTAGTCATGAAGAAGAGGATGACAAAAAGAAGGCTGGATGGTTTTGGAAATAGTAAACCAGGCGTGTCAGATGGATTGAAATTGTTTTGATACTCTCCTCATTTTATGTACTTTTCTTGTTTGCTCACTCGGGCATTACCAACTATGTAAAATGCTTTAATGACAATGAATTACATGACAACATCAGCCTGATTTATTTCCCCCTGCTCTGCGCCTTCTTCTTGCGCATTAGCCGCTTCCTAGCAATGAGCGTTTGTTTCATATCTGGCTTGTCATTGCCCTCGTCCTCGATTTCCTCCTTACCCTTGCCCTTACCCTTTCCTTTGCTTGGGCGTTGGCCATCCTTTCCTCTCGCCTTCTTATTCTCCTTCAGTATCCTGGAGACCTGCTCATCCTTTCCGCTTTCTTGTTTAGGCCTCCCACTGGCATGTTGCTTCTGCGCAGCTTGTGTTGTGTTTTGCTCGTTCACGCGGCGTCTTTGCACCACCTGCGCGTTCTCAATGGCAAACTCAACAATAAGCCTTTGCTTTCTGTTGTTATCACCATCCAGCTGCATGCCGTTGAGATAACGAAGCCCCATCAGGGCCCAGTGATGGGAAGTATACTCGATAAAGCCGTAGCCACGGCTCTTTCCAGCCCCACTCTTCTCATCGACCTTGGAACCCTGGTTGCTCTCGAAAACAATCTTTGCCTGTCGAACAATGCCCTTTCCTTTTTGCTTACGGTCACGCTCCTTTTCCTTGGCGTCTTTTCCGTCTCTTGCGTTCTCTTCCTTGGACAGAGGTTGTCGGCGACCTTCCTTGACATCTTTCGCAAACCCAACAATCGCCTTTCTGGCGAGATCTTTCAGCTCCTTCGACCCGATGTCGCGAGGAATGTTGCGGATAGCCAGCCTAGTCAAGCTGATGTGCAAGCTAGGGTTCTTTTCCACGAGTTTCTTGCGCTGGGCCGCGCTGGCTTGTCTCATCTGAAGCTCAGGCTGGCTCAGCAAGTTGAAGATTGGGGAGTTGCGCCCGATGGAACCTTCAGAGAGTAGGAAAAGCCTGCGCTTGTCTTTCTCTCTTCGCTTCACCGAGGAGCTATCTGCCAGATTGGCCGCAGTCTCCTTACTCACAGCCTGTGCTACTTGAAGCAGGCGGCCATCCAGGGTGTATTTGCCATCCGGATCGGCGTTTTCGTCTTGTAAGATGGAATGTTTGGCTTTTGTAGTAGTGGGTTGTTGAGGTCGTGGAGCACCCTTAACGCACGTTTTGGCGTCTTCCGCATTGAAGAAACAGACAAAACCTGTGCCTGCGGGGCGATCTGTGGCTTTGTCCATGACGACTCTTGCATATCGGACCTTGCCGAAATGCATGAAGAAGCCCTTCAGTTGTTCATCAGTTGTTGTGAAGGGTAGGTTTCGAATGAAAATAGTAGATGAGTTGTCGGTTGACTTTTGCGACTCCTTTGACTTGGAATGTTCGCCCTCGCCCTCCTGTTCGTCTTCATCTTCGTCATTCTTTTCTTCATCTTCGTCGTCTTCGTCCTCCATATTCTGCATGTGGTTCTTCAAAAAGTTCGCGAGGTCGGCATCCACACCTTCCTTCTTTGAGTCGGTCTGATCATCGTCCTCATCCTTGGCAGCATCGCTGGTCTCAGCCTCCTCCTTTGCTTCCTTGTTGCCTTTTTCGCCATCGTCCTTTTGATTTTGACCCTCCCAGGTTGCTTTATCAACAGCCCAGTCCACAGCGAGGGTCCTGCCATCAATTTCCTTCCCATTGATAGTCTCTAAGGCCTTTTCGGCATTCTTCCGGCCTCGAAGTGTCACAAAACCAAAACCTTTGAGTTTACCCTTTGAGCTTGGTAGATCGGCAAATTTGACCTTGCCAAAACTCCGGAATAGGTGCGATAGTTGTTCGGAAGTCTTGACACTCCAAGGAAGGTTTCGGACGATCAGCTTCGTTGCGTTCTGAGTCTCGTTTCTCGATGTGGGCCTGCCAGGTATGGTCGGCTTGCTTTCACCAGCATTGTTTCGACTGCGTGGCTCAGCGATATCAACTCTGATGCTCCTCCCGTCCCATAATTTCTTGTCCAGAGCCGTTTTCGCCTGAGAAGCATCCTCGGCGTCGGCGAATGTCACAAAACCATACCCTCTTGACTCCTTTGTTTTAGGATCGGTGATGACCGTGGCATGTTTGACAGGAAAATACTCGGAGAAGAACTCAGCCAATCCCTCGTTGGTGACGCTGGGTGGGAGAGAGCGGACAAAGATTGATCGACGCTCCTCTACCCTGGCCTTCTTTGCGGAAGGCTGCTTGGCATTGGTTGGGTTGATGACTTGCTCTGCAATAATTTGATCGATATTAGAGGCCTCGTTGTCATCAGCCTCAGCTTCAGTTCGACCGCGCTTTCGATTCGCAGTTGTGTCTGCCATTTTGCAATTGGAGAGTCACAACCTCTAGTTATGCTATAGAACAGCCGTTGCGATACTCAGTATTTGCTTCAAAAAAAAAAAGTTGAACTAGACTCCGATAAGCTTGCATTATCTTATCGCACGTGATAAGAGCGGGGCAGTTCATTGGAGGGGGGCTAGGCTGAAAATGGAAGAATGTTGACTTAATTAGATGGGCAAAACACGCTGCTCCGTGTCGTACCCAAACAAACCCCCTCCCCAGCAGCCCCATATTGAATCATTCACCAACTAAACACAGGATTTGGGATGCTGTGAATTCGCATTCACAACAACGTACCATTTCATCGACATGCCCGCCCGTACAGCCAACCGGTCTGGCCGGACCACGGCCAACAGACAAGCCAATACGACAGTCACCTCACGGTCTTCCATGGCCTCTAGTGTTTCGCCTGAGAGCGTGGAAATTCTCGATACTCCCGACAATGCGCTACGCCCCCGGATTTGTGCCATATTCCGCGATGCTCAGCGAACTACTGCGACGCACCGAAAACTGGTCGTTAACTTGCGCAAAATCCATGAGGCTTGTTGCTATGAGCCGGAAAGCGAAAGAAATGCAACTCCCGAAGGTTACGATGAGGAAACATTCAACTATGAGTTTATCAGATGTGTTCTTCGGGTAATGCCCGTCAAGAAATCCGAGAGCGCTGGTGATAAAATCCTGAGATTTGTCGGATTCTTCTTGCGCTTGGCTGGGGACAAGGACGCCGAGATTGCTGGAAACGACGAGGAAGATCTGAGCGTCTTGCCCGATAACCCAACGACACGCCTGACTTCCCAGCTGTTAGAAGCTGCACTGAGATTAATGACATCAAAGGACAAAGTTGTTCGGTTCCGCTCAACCCAGCTCGTGTCTCACATTATTTCCACCGTTGAAGCTATCGATGACGGCCTGTTTCAAAACGTTCGAGATACTTTGGTCAGGCGCATTCGAGATAAGGAGGGCATAGTTCGTAACCAGGCGGTTCTAGGACTATGCCGCCTTGCCGAGCAACCAGGTGAAGAAGGTCAGGACTCTGATGGCCAGGAGGACCAGGCTACGCTCCTTAACAAACTGTTGGAGGTCTTGCAGAATGACCCTAGCGCAGATGTGAGAAAAACACTTCTGACCAATCTTCCTATTCTCACTGCCTCACTCCCTTATCTACTCGAGCGAGCTAGAGACCAGGATCCCGGCACCCGGAGAGCTGTCTATGCTCGCCTGTTGCCTGCTCTTGGTGACTTCCGCCATCTCTCTTTGACTATGCGCGAAAAGCTACTCCGATGGGGGCTACGTGACCGAGATGAAACTGTCCGAAAAGCTGCTGGGCGGTTATTCCGAGATCGTTGGATTGAGGATTGTTGCCATCTACCTTCAGAAGAAGGAGAAGCCACAGTGGTTGAACCTGGACAGGTCAACTTCGAGGCACTACTGGAGTTGCTGGAGAGAATTGATGTAACCGCCTGCGGTGGAGAGAATGGAGTGGCTTTGGAGGCTATGAGAGGATTTTGGGAGGGCCGCCCCGATTACCGAGACGCTGTTGTTCTCGATGATCAATTCTGGGAGACTCTTTCCGCCGAGTCGGCTTTCCTTGCACGAACATTCAATGACTTTTGCCGCAACGAAGGCAACGGAAAGTATGAGTGGATCGTAGATGAAAAGATCCCGGAAGTGACCAAGCTCGCCTTTTACCTTGAGCGATACCTCAGGGTTCTTGGTGAGGCAGTTAAGAGGGTTGCTGAGAATAAGAGACTTCGAGAGGAACAGGGGCTAGATGACGAAGAAGAAGAAGAAGCAGAAGAGGAAGAAACACTCGAGCAGGAGTTCATCGTCGAGCAGATACTTCATATTTGCCTGACACTTGACTACTCAGATGAGGTTGGGCGCAGAAAGATGTTTACTCTTTTGCGTCAAACACTCTCTGTCGAGGACCTGCCAGAGCCCGTGACTAAGCTCACAATTGAAGTTTTGCAGCACATATGCACCCCAGATGCTGCGGGAGAGCGCGAATTTTGCAGCGTGGTCCTAGAGGCTGTTGCCGACGTCCATGATACCATTGTCGACGACCCAGACGCGGATGACGCATCCGACAGTTTCCATTCGGCTAGGTCGGAGATATCTGGTGACACAACTCCAACCAGGGAAGCTAGGCGCAGAGCAACATCGGAGCTAAGTGAGGGAGAGGCTTATAGACGGGCCGTTAAGGAGATGCTCGTCAACATGAAGTGTCTGCACATTGTGCAGTGCATGTTGACCCATGTTGCTGGCAACCTGAAGGATAACACAGAACTCGTTGCAATGCTCAACAACTTGGTTGTTCCAGCTGTTCGAAGTCACGAGGCCCCCGTGCGAGAAAGAGGGCTGGTGTGCCTAGGGCTTTGCGCATTGCTTGACAAATCCCTTGCGGAGGAAAATTTGGGATTGTTCATCCATTTCTTCAGCAAAGGTCACCCTGCTCTGCAGATAACGGCCTTGCACATTTTGACAGATATCCTAAACGTCCATGGCGCGCAGCTTCTCTCAGCTAGCCCAGTGCTCCTAAAGGTGTATCTGAAAGCCGTCAAGGGTGCATCCAAATCTTCAGAAGTGCAAGCGGCTGCCACTATTGCTGCCACCAAACTCCTCCTTGGCCGTGTGATCAGCGACGAGGGAGCCTCTCATGATTTGTTGAAAGTGCTTGTCGTTGCATACTTCGACCCATCGTCTGCCCATAACCAAACGGTTAGGCAAGCACTGAACTATTTCCTACCCGTCTTTTGCTACTCGCGTCCAGAGAACCAAGATCTCATGCGGACGGTGGCATTGGACGCCCTCCATGCCCTTCTCGGTGTGCGGGAAGGGTTGGACGATGACGAGGATGCGGACGTCGGTGAAGATATGGTGAGTCTGACAACAATCGGCGCTTGCCTAGTAGATTGGACAGATCCTAGGAAATGTTACAGCCCCGATGCAATCTACGATTCAGAGAGGAAGAATGTCAATGGCGATGTGCACCTGGACTTTGCCCAAGATATTCTTGAGAGACTTCGTGGCAGTATTAGCAGTAAGCACACGATTCCTATTAATGAATTAAGCCTGACCCGTTTTGACTGACAATTTTTCGCACAGGGGAAGAGAAGAAACTCGCTGCTGGCCTCCTGGCAAAACTGTACATCTCGCCTGGTTCGTCGGAGGATAGGCTGCGTGAAACATACGCCGATGTCAGCGATGCTGTCGAGAATGGCCTCTTGACAGATGCCACAAGCCGAAACTCGCTCTACAAGATTCATGTCAGCCTTGGGAAGATTGTCAACGCGCTGGATGAGCGCCAGGCAACTGAGCGCACAAGCCGCCGCGCTTCAGGCACAAACGAGCCCTCTGTATCAGGGGAGAAGTCAAGCGTGGGGGATAAGTCTACCGAGGCGGATGAGAGCAAGATCGAGGAACAGGAAGATGAGGACGAACCCGAAGCGACTGTTGTGGCCTCTAAGAAGGAACCTCAAGATGAGTCGTTGGTGGACGAGCTTCTGTCTGATGATGACGAATCAATGACTGTGACGGTCGGCCGATGAGAGGCGTAGGGTAATGGGTTTGGCTGGTTATGTGAGCGTGCTGGCGGCAATATTGATTATCTAGGCGAAGTGGTTTTCCTTTTTAGCTAACGTTTATGTCTCTAATGAAATCTCTCTCATGGATATCCCTAAAATGCCTCTCTATATAAGTACATAATCTATGGTATGGGCTGACCAAACCAATGACGAATAAGTTCTTTGACGACGAATCTAAATGAATACAAAATCTTTGTTTAGAATCTCCCCGAATATCTATCGCGAGCTGAGCCAATAGAGAAGGCCACCGAATCCAACGTTGATGAGTAAATGCTGACCCAGCCCCCAGGCCATGCAGTACAGGTACTTGGGTGAGAAGACTGTCCAAATGAAGAGGTGTGTTCTCAGCGCCGTGCAAGCTGCCATTACGAAGGCTATGCTGGCTGCTGTAAATGCTGTGAGAAGCGTGATATGCTGCCTGAAGACGTCCTTTTGTCCTTCATGAGCTTTCTTCATTAAGAGGAGGTTGGCCGCCGAGGTCCAAAAGATGGGGCCGGACCAGTTGCTGATGAGGGTGAGGAATCCGACTGCGATGACGTTGAAAGAGCTGATGCCGTTGTACGCGCTGGAGAGATCAATGGAGGAGATGGCGTTGGAGCCACCGAAGGCGAAGAAGGTGGCATGTTGGAGGAGGATGGAGCTGGTGGTTATCTGCGGAATGGATAGGTTGCTGGACTGGAGGAAGTTGAAGAGAAGAGACGATAGGAGGAGAATGGGGATGTTCGTTGCTCGAGATTGAGTCAAAGCGAGTAGGGTGTAGAGATAATGAAAAAGGTATGCTGGAGGTGAGGCTCGGTTAGCTACATTGGATTTGGTAGATGGAGTGCATGGAACTCACCAGATGTTCTCGAGGCTCGCGGACCACCCACGATGCTTCTGTATATTGCCCAGACTGCAGTAATGGAAATAAGGGCAAAAACGAGCCTGGCTCTAAATAGTAAGGTCTGGCCTTGAAACATATCGTATACGGCTTTCGCAAATCCAACTACGAGTTCAGGGGCATCCTCGGCCGTGAAGGCAAGCTTGAAACTGAAGGCAGCCGAAACAAGAAAAGAGGATAGACCCGTCGAAATAACATATGGGAGTCCGTCGAGGCTGGCAAGAATGTTAAAGGATATGATGCCGTATGTGGCTGCGACAAGGATCCATAGGAGCTCAGGATACGGCAAAAGAAATATCTTGACAATGTCTGGTTCGCCGGCATATTTCTGGCCTGTCTGGTTCCAGCTGCGCATTATCCTAAGTGCAGCTAGAGCTACTAAGGACCAGCCAAAAAGAGATATTCGTCGGGTCCTGTTGTTACAATTAGCGTGTTACTGGGTTGTGATTGGTTTCACTCGACTTACTTTGCGACCTGGCGAGACCCAAGATACGCAAGCCACAAGGTGCAAGACCAATACCAAAAGTGATGTTCCTCTTCCACAAAACTACTGGCGAACATCATGATGCCGTAAGATAGGGCGATCAGCAAGAGGGGAACTGCATCTGAGTTCCAATGATATCCTCGCGAGACTGTGGAGCTGATGCTGAGAAGCATGCTCACTGAGGCAAGGGCGAGTCCTAGCAAGAGCTTGGGAATGTCGTAGTTCGAAGCCATAGCACTCATCAGATCCTGGGCACGCCTCAACCATGTTGAAGTTTCTGAGAGCCATTCTGCATCTATATGGCGAGCATCTGCCACACTGCGCGCTTTTTGGCTAATACAGCGCCATTGGCAAGCCAAGGTGTTGATATCTGTAGGCTCCAGAAAACATGGGTCTGACATACTCTCGGGGTCAAATAACTCATCGCCAAAGGCTGCTGTGACTATGCCGAGGATCTGTTTGGCATTTCTCATAAGAATTTGAACCCTGTCTCTCGCACTGGGCCAGAAGGACAGGAAAGCGGGAATGAAAGCTCCGAGATTATTCTTGGACACTGGGAAGCCCAGCAATGCTGCGATTGTCGGCGCCAAATCAGATTGTTCTACCTTGGAGTAGTACTCAAAGTCGTCTTTTGGGGTTGCTGGCGCTGATAGGCCAGAAGAGATTGCCTTCATTTTTGGCGAGATGAACAACAATGCCGGTGACGTCTCGCCTGGAGATGACGCTCCGTGGTTTCCTGCGTCGTTCATTCCATGGTCACCACAAATGACAAGCAGAGTCGATTTCAAGTGATTCTTGGACTCAATTGCTTCAAAGAGAGTTTGGACGATACCGTCCATCTCTTGCTGCTTCGGGACCATATTGGGGCTGCGCGCGAATGTTAGCCAGACCCAGCGTACATTTTTGGCATGTCTGTCGGTCATATTGTTCACCTTCGAGGCCCGGACTTATGGCCAATGTGATCGAGACCAAGATAATGAAGGACCATCAGGCCCCAATCGTTATTCTCAAGCTCTCCAGCAATGTTCCTTGTTACATTGTTATCGACTTCGGTAAAATCCTGGAGAAGTGCACTTGTTAATGGCACGCTGAGACCAGCCTGAAGAACCGTGACATACTGAAACGAAAAAGCTCGTGGTACCATCGGTCCGGTCAAAAGTGTCTGGGAACAGCTTAAGCCACGTATCATCGCCGAACATGAGCAGTTTCCCCATGCCCCGGGCCTTGAGCTGGGCTAGCCAAGTGTCTTGCGCCGACAGCGTCGACGAGGTATCTGCCTCATCGAAATTCAAGATGAGATCAACAAAGGAAGGAATTGAGCCCGTGGTGATGGATTTGATCCTTGGCATTGTCACGGTCGGAGACCGCGCGTTTGCTGTGAAGGGAACAGCACTGCCATCTCGAATCAGACTGGAGGAGATGTTAGATTAACAGTGGAATTTGGGAGACAGAAATGGTCGAAAGGACTCTTTGCCCACCTCTGGGTGAATTCAAACCCGGAGTTTTCCGAAAATACAAAGTCGCTACAATCAGAAGTCAGCTGGCCGGTACGGCGATTGAGTGGGCTTGATCATCGGTTGCTACAACCTTCGCAGGGCGTCTACGACCATGAACACGAGCTTGTCAAACGGGCCGCTCGGGGGAGGCCCAATTTCGAGAGACTCATATTCGGCAAGGCCCGGAAGAAACGGCTTGTATGGGAAAAAGCCAATGGCGAATATAAGGATGGATATTGGCACGAGGATGTTGGCTAAGCTCAACAGCAACGTGTTAACGAGCGAACCATATTTCATGGTAGCTTGGTAAGCGGGCAATCAGCGGGAAGCAGCTAGGACCGTCTCAAATGAATGCATGGGCAAATGAATGAATGTGGGAGAGAAGAAGGAGGAAAGGGTGATGCTAGAGCTTTGTTTGCTCCATTGACGAGAGGGAGCGAGCGCGCGCAGAATAATGAATTGTCTTGGCCTTGCTGGACGTAGACACGTCCGAGGCTCTCAGCCAATGAGACGAGGCGATCAATCAGGTGCATCAATTGCCAAGACGATGGTGGTTGTTTGCGCCACAGCAGCCGATAAGATAAGCATTCCCAGCTTTTTTTTGTCCTGGTTTTTGTCTGTCTTGCTTGTCTGCCCTTGGTGACAAGTTATTATACACACAATAATTTGTACTAATTATAGATTCCCCATGAGAAAGAGACAGAGAGCGACGGTGGAAGTGTATGCATGTGTACTTTTATTATCATCGCATCGTAAAATCTCTGCTGAAGTGGTAGATTTGAATGCCTCAAGTGGATATACGTGAAGAGAAAAGGAAGGGGAAAAGAAAATCCAACATAGAACCCATAACACCTATCAATTCCGTTTATTTCTGGCTCTTCTGCTTCTTCTTGCCCACTCTGTCGCTGTACTTCTGGAACACCATCTTTGACTTCTTGTGCTTACTTTTGGCAATGACCCTGCCGCTCCTCCGTGGTTTGGTAGTCTTGGTGCTTGCATCTACCTCCATGGCTATTGTTCCGGATGTCAATACAAGGGAACAAAAACAAATCAGGGAGGCGAATAAAGAAAGTTATTTACCTGTATCGTTGTCATCCCGTGTGGTGATTTCAACTTGAAGATCATCGTCTGTCATATGTTAGAATCTATTTGAGGAAACGAAACATCACTGCATGCGGCTGGGCAGCCTGGATGAGACAGGAATTATTGCACATACCCTCGGTATTCATGTTCACATCAGAAGACTCAGGTTTAGGCTGTTTGGCCAACTCCAGGAGCTTTGCGGAAAGGCGTTCTGCCCGGGCATTTTCAGTAGGGGCAAAGACGCTGGCCGCCTTGCGCTGGTTGTTGAACTTCTTGGAACTGGCCCTTGCGCTCTTCGCCATGGTGACGGTTAAGAAAGAACACGAATAAAACAAAGATTACGCGGGGACCGATGTATGCCGGACGAGAGGATATGTCTTTTTTGCGCAGGTCTGCCGGGAGATGAACGACGGGAGCAAGTGATTTACCCAGTGAAGATATTTTTCAGCAGTAACTGCGTCCATCCTGAGCGGAGCGGCCTTGAACATTTGTGGCTGTGCAGGCAGACAAAGTGTGGCGTCGCTGGCCTTAGCGTGAGATCGCCCGAGTCGCTCTCCATAATCGCGGAAAGGGCACTGTAGGGTGTTCGTATTGACCTCTTAGGGATTCTTGTTGCGATTCACGACCTGGCCAACATCCAACCCAACAACCCACCCCCCGAGTAGGGACATGTTTTTGTCTGGCATCGGTTGTGTGGCGCGCAAACAACCGCACCGTTGTTTATCGTTCCGACAATCCAACTTCACGTAGCCACTTCGCCACGACCCATTCAACCTGGTTCGCTACCCTCAATTTATTTTCAGCCAGCCCTACTCCCCGACCCAACGACAACCACATTGCCTTTCATGCGGCCCCAGCGTCAGACGAGATACTGCTACTTAGAGCGACCACTGTTCCAACTCTTAAAACTTTCCTAGCCGGTTCTGCCTGTGTCGAAAGAGGGCAGAAACCCTGCGTGATCACGAAAGACCAGCACACAGGCGAACGCAAGGCAACCACTCAGGCGAGCCAAATTTTGCTCAGGGCCGACACGCAAACCTCGACCAACAACTTGCAATAAGGAGACAGGGGAAGGAGGAAGCCTGGCAGAGCGTTTCACCCTTTGCTCAGGTCGGGCTGAAAACATGGCAGCACCACCCCCCACCATGCCTGGCATCACGTCCATCAGTCGCACTGATTACACTACCCTCATCCGCCAGGTGTCTGGCGCAACGCTATTCAACCGCCAACTGGCTTCTATATGTCAGATCAATGGTCTTAAGAGCACTGGCGTCAAAGCCGAGTTACAGGGGCGCATCAGAGATCGTGAGTTCATGTTGAAGCGCAATAGTCGCACGCACCAGCTGCTGCGCCTCTTCCTATACTCTTTCATTTAGTCTGTTGATTCCATAACTAACGTCGTTATTTTTTCCCATAGTAATTCAGGAAGCATACAATGCGAACGATGCCACGCGCTTTCAGCAAATCAGGCAGAGCATATATAATGCAATGAGCCAGCGTTCGAGCCCCCAGAAACAAACACCCCGGACAAGCACTCCCCAGATGGGCCTCGCAACTCCAGCGTCACACAACGGGACGCTCGGGCAGAATGGATTCACAAATCAACATGCCACTCCTGGCTACACTTCCGCTGGCGTCCGGCAGACAGGGTTCTATCCCTCATCGGCATCACCAGCCTTGCTGTTCAAGCAAAGCCCATTCTACCATCTGGAAAGCCAGATCAGTGAGGTTCTCAAATGTCCTGGTATGTTTCCAGCAATTGCGCGCGATGGTGTGTTTTTCTAACCTTGGCAACCCTTTTTCATAGTCATGACCCAACATCGCAGTAGTGTGCATTTGACGGTCCGCTTGACCGATAATCTGATTCTGCAGCGATGTGTAGACGATCCCTCTTACCGGGTCATGCTATTTGGCTCAACTGAGAATTCAGGTGTCCAGGACATTGCATTCCCCCATCAGTCCGAACTGAAGATAAACGGCGGAGAATTCAAGGCGAATTTGCGCGGGTTGAAGAATAAGCCTGGGTCTACTAGACCAGTTGACATCACAAGTGCTCTTCGCTTGAAATCCAGTTACACGAACAACATTGAATTCACATACGCATTAACGAATAAGGTGGGCCCCCTTGAGGTTTAAACATGTCCATTCTATCGTCCTCGAGTCTAACTGAAAGCAGACATTCTACGTGGTGCTTTTTGTGTGCAAAACATCACCAGTCTCTGACCTTGTGATGGAAATCCAGAAACGTCGGAGAATACCAAAGGACTCGGTTATAACAGAGCGTACGTGCCAGCTATGGTGCCCATTGCCAGAATGACATAAAGCTAACCAGCCACAGTGAACCAGAAGGCCCAGGACCCAGACGTTGTGGCCTGCTCACAAGTATTCTCACTGAAGTGCCCGTTATCGTACATGAGACTCGATGTTCCATGTCGGACTATAAACTGTGGGCATATCCAGTGCTTCGACGCGACGTCGTACTTGCAGCTTCAGGAGCAAGGACCCCAGTGGATGTGTCCGATCTGCAACAAACCAGCCCCATATGAGCATCTTGCTGTTGACGAGTGAGTTTCGAGCCGAACCCCAAGCCAGGTTAACCCTTCTAACGCTCCGCGTCAGGTATGTCCGCGACATTCTTGACAACACCTCAAAAAGCTTGGAGACAGTAACCATTGAACCCAATGGGCGGTGGACAACCAAGTCCACTGAGCCTGAACAATACCAGCCTTCAGGGTCCGCTGCGTTTGAAGACGACGACGAGGTGGAGATTTCAGACATCACAATCATCGGAGGCTATGAAACATCCAAACCCGCTTTTTCAACAAACGTTAGCACACCCGCGTCTGCACATGTAGGGGGTTCCTCCGGGACCCCCAGAGGCGCTGGGTCGATCAGCAACAAACGTCCAGCAGCAGAAGTAATAGATTTAACTCTGTCGTCTGATGACGAAGAGCCAGTGCAGCGAGCTCCGAAACGGCAAAACACTAGTGCTAATGGGTATCAAGAATCCCATGGCATGGGGTTTCTGAGTGAGTCTCCACTCGGATATCCTCAATAATTTCTCAACCTGGCGGCCTTTTGGAGGAGACGCACGATGGCTGCCGAGATGGCGGGGATTCGTGGATGCCAAGGTGCCATATCACTTCGGGACCCGGATAGAGGATTTACTTTGAAGGAGTATTGGAAAATAGGGAGAGTCCGTTTATATTGCATTTACATAACTGGATTGGAGTTTCAGGAGAAGCGAGCAAAACAATATTCCCAATTGACTTTCTCATCCCATTTTGAGGGTTGAATATCATCACGGACAGAGCGTGGCCTCAACTTGCTATAACGTGAAGCGCCACCGGGTATCTCCTGCAAAGTCCTTGGAATTGAAGGAGCTCGCGATAAAAAATTAAACAGGTGCTTGCTCTAGTCAATGAAACTCTTCCCGTGTCATCGCCGTGTCCCTTTTACTCTCAGAGGCTCCATGGGCTATCCCAGAGCCGGCCTCTGACTTGGTCGCTCCGTCGTTGCCGTGGCCTCCCCCGTAACGAAGCTGCAGCGGTACTGCTGATCCGCAATCAATGACGAGAGGAGATTTTTTGGGACAGGGGGGGGTAGCTAATAGCTTGTATGAATGTCACCCTGGAAGCCGCCTCGTGCGATGGGGATCTTTCGGCCCCGACTATTATTATGCGCCCCTCTCGACCAGGATAAAAAAAGACCGAGGGCGGACAGGGCCTTCGACGAGGTTTCTTCGAAGCCCAACTCGAGTCTTGGTTCAGCTGTAGTCGAAATCGACGAATCAGGTCGACCTCCTGAGAGGACCAATGGCAACCGGCCAAGTCGTAGGACTTCCTCCTGGGCGCGAAGGGGGCCTCGTTTGCGAGCGGTAGGTGGCGATTGGGTTGTCTGATGTACCTTGCATGACGGTTGAGGTTGGGGACACAAAGAAAATCACATGTACTCGAGAGAGACTATAGGCAAAGCCGCATGGATCGGTCACATTTCTCTTGGCCGGGGAGGGGAAGGGTGGGCGAGGTATGACTCTAGGACAGCACCTGGCGCCAGATGTATGTATAAATATGCAGAGGCATGGATCTGGGCAAGGAAGGAGAGACATGCAGTGGCAAGGGGAGGGCAAAAGATTGAAGTTTTCTCATCTACTCGGGGACTAGGCTCATGCACAGTGATGAAGGTGATGCACCACCGAGTGGTTACACAATGGGGCTGGAGAATGCAACAGAACGCGAGCTCGCTGCTTATTGTGCGCGCGCCGGACTGCAATGCAATGTACACACCTTACATGATTCATATCCTGAAGTAGCTGGAGGCGAGAAGTAGGGGGACTGGGATAGTGGCGGCAGGCGAACACATATGGTTATATTGCCCCGTTCGATTCACTCATTATCAGCGCATCTGGGTGAAGCTCATAGGCCGTCAGGAGGAAGCCCGAGAGCAGGTCCCATCCCCAAAGTCCGATCAGTACCCACGGCTGCGGGTTGGATTGGGTGCATGCATGCCATTTCTCCCCAAGGCCAGCTACATATCATATGCGGCCCAACAACTCCCATTCCCAGTCGAGCGCAGGAGATGCAAGGTAAGGCGAGAGAAGAGAGAAGAGAACATCAGCAACCCAATTGAATCCAAGTACCTACGCAAGGGAGTAAGAGAATCCTAAGCGAGCAACAAGAACAAAGAAAGCAGTTGCAGCAAGAGGGAATGGAAAAAGCAAGGAGATGCAAACACCACTCCAAGGCCTTTCACCCCGGTCTGCAGAGAGCTGTCCATCCAACCATCTTAGTTTAAAGAAGCAGCATTATAGAGGCGCATCCAACAACCATCACAACAACAGTACAACACAATCATACCAGCTACGCATGCACACAACACACACTAAGGAGAGGAGGGTGGAGGCGACGTGCCTCAGCGCGCGCGCCGCCCATCTCGATTTAGCAAGCTCTCTGTTGTTAGTAGCAGAGAGAGGGAAAAGGCGGGCTGGAGTAGAGGCTGCCAGGCTGCGGGCAGACAGGTCAGTTCTCCCCGGAGGAGATTTCGGTAAGGTCCTTGGTCAGTGCTCGGCCCTTGGCCAGGTTCGTTCGTACTTGCCTTGCTGCGTAGTGGGCCAAGTCAATGCCGGGTCTGGTGGGTCTGGAAGCTGCTAGCAGCTGTGGTAAAGCTCGCTGTGGTACCATGTACGAGATGTATGTATTGACGTGCTGAGGGCAGCCCGCCAGACCTAATGGAGATGGCTGCAGGGCGTTTTGGCAGTGGGCCAGGTGCCTGCGCAGCTCAAGAGACTTGAAGAACGAGCCAGAATCCAGAATGCACGCCCGAAAAAAGACAGCTCAGCCACGCCAAGGTCTGGGCGGGGGAAGGCCAATGAGGTCAGTCCTCGCTCACTGCTCGGCGGGCGCCCTGTGCTGCTGGCGAGGCGCCTCCTCTGTTCACGCGCGGGACAGAGATTTTCATCCAATGTGCGGCAGCTGTTTGCGAATCCAGAGCCAGAGACATGCACAGCAAACAGGCGTGCGAGAACAATTGACTGGTCTTGGATATCTAGACAGCCCCACAGTCCACATCTGCACGTAAGAGGAGCCCTGCGCATCGCTTTCGTGTCGCCCAATGGGAAAATAAACCCCCAGCAAGCCAGCCAGCCAGCGGCCAGGAGGGTTGGATCATGATTTCCCCCATCACGGCCACCCGCAAATACCAAACAGGGGTGGTGCTGGTTGCACAGACAGACACGCCTGGGCACCTTCAGACACCCCACACACCACCACCCGCCTCTTGGCTCTAGCGCTAGCCCAGGATGCGGCAAGCTCAAACCTCCTGCACACCCTTCATCACCAGCGCACACACATGCACACATGCCCTCGCGACGTGAGCCACTCGCGTGCGGCCTGGCTGGCCTTTCCTCACTCACTTCCAGCAGTGCAGTGCCATGGCGTCCCGAGGACTGGGTGCGAGGTCGACGCCATTATTCGAGGCTAGCGTGCCCCCTCCCCTCCATTCAGCATCTGATATGCATGCGACAGACAGGAGGGACGTCGACTTCGTCGGGGCCTGAGGCAAGCGGCGATAGCTGCTCTGCCCCCCCCTTCTTCCCCGCCTCGCCTTAGGACCTCTCTGGCCGAGACCAATTGTGGCCGACTCTGCTATCCTGCCGTCGGTCATTCTATCCCGGGCTCCCCGGCCAATCTCTGGCTGCTGGAGACGGACCGGACGACATTCAGTGCTGGGGCAGGGCAGGCAGACCGTGTTGCAGCGCCACAGCCACCTGCAATCTACCATGTGCCGTACAATTACTTTGACACATAGACACTTACAGGACTAATGCATCCCTGTATGCATGTATGTAAGTGATGGAGGTTTGTTATGGATCCCAGCCCAGCATTGGAGGAGACTCCGGAACGTCACCGAGACGCAAGATACCGACGCAAACTCTAGTGCTAACTCGCCCCAGCTGCGTATCGCAGTACCTGCCCACCCCCCTGCCTGTGGTAGTGGCAGCAGGTACCTACCTACCTGCATGCGCTAGACGAAAGGGAGGTAGCCCGATACGAGTTGGCAGGTACCAGGCAGATGGGTGGTGGTAGCGATGGGAGCGGTAGTGTGTTCGAGTAGAGGAGAGGGCCAGAGACGCCATCCCATCATAGGTACTTTGCTACGGCTTGGCTGGTGCTTGTTGTGTGTTGGGCTGGTGCCGTATGCAGCAGCACCATCGTGGTGCCGAATCCCCGCCTCCCACCATCGGGCTCCATCCAAAGTAGACCACATCTGACTGCCCGTCTGTTGAGCAGGCTGGATGCCGGGAGCTCTCCTGCACATATACATCCTGGCAACGAGCAAGGCCGGCCGTAGAGGAAGTAGAGCGAGAACAAGCAAGCAAAAAAAAGAAAGTGAGACACTGCCTCCTCCACAGCTGTGTCCGGGAACAGCCGCGACATTGCTGGGCCTTATTGCGGACATCCAGATCTGGAAAGCCTGATGTGGATGTGGGCACTTGGAGACGTTTCCCAACCATTACGAGAGCGGACAAGCCTTCGATCCCCTTTAGGTCTGGAATTTCCACTCTTCTGACGACTGACATCTGCACCTCCGGGCATCATACTTTCTCGGCTCTGCGTGTTCGAGGTGGATCGCGCCCGGTGGCTTTTCGACTCTGGTCTCAGTAACTTCCGGCCCTGGCCCCGTCCCTCAGCCACCAGATACGGCTATCTTGCTCCCAAAGGGCTGCCTCGACCACTCGGCCGGGCTAATCTACCTACCAGAGCAAGCATCCATCCATCTCTACGCTGCCTCATCACCTTCGCCGTACTCTCACTTCCACATCTTCTTTCCCTTCTACTCGCACCTTTTCCGTATATTCTGCCCCCTCGCTCCTTCCTTTCTCCCAGATCTGCTCTCGTCCCAGTCCTTCTACTTGGCCCTCTTCAGCTATAAGTGGAATGGGCGTGAAGATCTGATGATTTGGTACTGTCCGCCTGTACATTTTTGCCGTACACGATATCCTCGCCCCTCTGAGGCGTTGTTCTACTGAAAATACACACCTCTAAAGGACATTTTGCGACTAGAGAAAAAGTATATACTAGACGCTTCGTGTATGTTTTTTTTTTTGCTTTCTACCGGCCGTATACGTGCTGCCTGGCGACCGCGTCTTCCTTTAAGTTCGAGGCTTCCTCCCCAAGAAACCGGGCAATCCTCGAGCAAGAAGCACAAAGCAACAACCAAAGCTTGCGAGTTAATGTTTTGGCCTGCGGGACTCGCTGCAGCTGGCTGAATTTTTGCCCCCTTCTGGACCTCGATAATATCTTGGGCTATTGCCCTTCTCTCCCTTTCACCAACTTGCGCATTCCTCCTTCGCGACTACTTAAAGCAGGCCTTCCCTCGCTTCACCCACGCTTGTGTATTCCGCAAACGGCATAGCACCCAACCAGCCATACTTGCCTGGCGACCTGCCAGACATCTTTCCTACTTACCTCCACTGACGTCCCCTCCAATCTCTTCCATCGTCAAACCACAAAAGAGCCTTTGCAACAGCTCAGATCCTGAACTCACATCCCCATCTCGCAAATTCCGCGTTGGAATTATCAACAGCGTTTACAACGCTCCATTGGACCTAGTATCCTCCCTTTCCTGAAAAGATCAAACCCAATCGTCTTCCCCGTTCTTCATCTATCTTCATACTCTCGCTCGGTCCAAAGGTTAACCTTGTGACCACGCACCTTATTGTTTGGCCATGTCGAGCCAAGCAAGCCCTCTCGAGCCTACTTATTACGGCCACATCTCCTCCACCAAAGATGCCTTGATCCTCATGGAGGCATGCCTCGATGGCCAGCTCTCGCATGTCCCACGCCGTCCCCATGATAGAGAGAGACAGGACCTCATCCGAAGCGGGTACGTCTTCATCTACGAGGAGCACTCATCAGGAATCAAACGCTGGACCGACGGCGTTTCCTGGAGCCCCAGCCGCATCCTCAACAACTTTCTCATCTACCGCGAGCTGGACAAGCCCTTCCCCCCTGGCGAGAAGAAGCGAGCTCTCAAGCGCCCACAGAAGAAGCCCTCCAATGGCGGCATTTCCAAGGCTCAAGGGCAGACCCCCCCCGACCTCTCCTCCGCCGCCTTCTCGTCCACCACGAGCCAGGTCAATGTAAACAATCTCAAGGATCCCGAGCGAGCTCTTATCGGCTCCCTGATTGATTCTTACCCATTCAAGGAGGGTGGCCTTATCAAGAAGACCATTAGTATCACTTACCGTGGAGTCACTCACCACCTAGTCAGCTACTACAGTGTCGAAGATGTGCAGGAAAACCGACTTCAAACCCCTTCCCGGGATCCAGCTCTCCGCCACATCATTCCTCGCCATGAGATTTGCTCATCGCAGAACTTCCGTGCCCCCCTCGAAGAGATCGAGTATACCACAGATGGTTATATTGGAATTAATGGTTATATCGCAACCCCCATCCCCCATGGCTTCGAAGGACCCGGGGTCATGCCTCACCCCATGAGCAACCTTTCCTACCCTCCGGGTGCTCCTGCCTATGCGGTTTCGGCACCGGCTCCGTTGTCAAACATAGCATCTTATCATTCTCGCGGCCCCTCTGACTACGGGACCCAGCACCCAGCACCAACGACTTCCTCCATGTACGGGTTCCCGTCTAATGTCTTCCCCAGCTATATTGAGAATGGTGTCAGCCCTAGCCCACTTCACCCAGGGCCCGTCGCAGGTCAGACATCTCCTGGTCACTATCATCTGGAAGGGGGTAGAAGCCGGTTCGCATCCACTGCCGGGATCATGCAAGAGTCTCCCCGCCATATTCCTGCCCAAGAGATCCCTCGCCGCCACTCAACAATTGAAGCGAGCCAGACCGCCGATATGGACGCATTCTCTCTGAGCTCAGTCCCCGAAGGCCGAAGCGGAGCCATGAACAACTACCTCTCAGCGCATTCATTCATGAGCCCAATCCAAGGTAACGGTGTTTCGGAACACGGCGCTACCTTCCCGTCACCTCCCGCCACCGGGCATTCGCATCAGCATGCAGGCATGGGTCTTACACAGCCCAAGGCAGAGCCAGACACTCTGGCCAACAGTTTACCAGCATCTCAGTCATTCACCTTGGACAACAGCTGGAATAACCTCGAGGGGCTGGATGATACTCAAGAAGATTTCCCCCAGCACTATTTCAAGGGAAGCTTTCCCCCTAATGATCACTACTCAGAAGGTCACTAGCCTGCTGATCTAGGGTCTGGGCTTATTTTGGCTGGCGTTTTGTTCTATTGGTGGTCTTTCATGCCCCAAACAGGTGTTTTATGGTTTTTTATGGGTTTTTTTTCTCTTAATATTGGATACGCTCTTACAGGTGTTACACAATTGACGGGTGGCACAGGCTGGCTTCTTTGTTTAAGGTTGGACCAGTCAACCTGTTGATGATTGGCGTTCTGGATTGGTAGACGGAGGGAAACAGTCTATCTCGATTATTGGTTCGGTTTCACTAGGGTCAAGTGAAGGGTCAAAAAGTCATCATCCTTGCTGCTTATTGGGGCACGCAGCAGGGATGTCTTTTCTTTTCTTTCCCGTCTGATGCTCGTGTACTGTCGCGATTATTATTACCTGGAGTTTTCGAGTTTGGGTGTTTTTTTTCTTGTTTTTTATTGTTTTCAGTTTTGTTTTCGGAGACTCAATGCGTAATTCTAGTTGCAATACACGGGCTTATTATTATCTCTCTTGCCTCTTGCTAACTGTGATTTGCCATGGTGCGTATAGACGTAGTAGCATACACTGGTTGACTGGCAACGTGAATGTGGTGTTGGACCCCCAGCCTAGCCTCACAGAATGCGTATTACCCCGCCAGACTGAATGAGCTGCCTGCAGGCCTGGGCGGATCCGCAACAATTAGCATCCCCACCACACCCTCGTCTGACAGAATAGAGTGGATGCGGCGACTGGCATGAATGCGACGGCACTTGAGACCTCCTCTCTGGGTTCAGAGTACGAGCACCAGCAGATAGCCTCGTCTGTGCTGCTTCCGGCCAGCACTGGACGCCTGCTCAGCAAGCGTCCACACGCGTGGCAGAGGGAGCCCAATAAGCCATCCATCTTGCAATGGGTGATCTCACGCCTACGGGCGTCAATTGACCATCCTTCCCCGCGCACTCGCCAGTACCTGGTTGGACAACGCCATTTCATGATCCATCACCCCTCTCGATCAATCTTGCATTAGAGAGCAAACGGGCAGTGGCTTGGGTCTAGGGCGGCCCACAGAATGACACCAAGCCCTAGTCTCGATGACTCTCCAGCCCTGCCCCCCCTTCGAAAACAATCACCAACCAGAACCTCCAATGCCTCGCATGATTGGCCAATTGGGTCGGGAGCGGCAGGCGGCGGCAAGCCAAGACCATCCATCCTCTACGGGACTAGGCTTGGAGTCGCATTTCAGACATGGGAGAACGAAAGCGGGGACCCGGACGCGGCCAGGCGATATGTTTACGCAGCCAATGAGCCCCGTCCCAATAGATATGCTGGGAGCCCACTCTCCTATCTCTCCCCTCCTATTCGCTGGGCGGCCCTCGCACTGGGCTGGGGCACCCTCGTCTCTGGCACCTTGGTCCGGCGTTCCGCCCGAGGAGCGATGGGTCTTGGCGTTGCACCAGCTCGATGAGCTAAAAGGGGACCTCATGTGACTGTGAGGTGTAATCGAAGCTCACATGCCACGGGAAAAGCGCAGATGGGTTACTGGTGCGAGGAATGGGAGAAGAGAGGTAGTACTGTAGTAGGCTGGGCTGGGCTCTTTGGTTGGGTCATCCATCTGCAATCCGTTGCCCCTCACTCTGCCCCTCTTTTCTCTCTTCTCTCTTCCTCTACCTATCTTGGTGTTCCCATTACATACTAGATTATACAAGTTTCTCTCCAAAGCTCGTGATAATCCCCCCTCTAAAGCAACGTCGTACATGCAGGCTCTACTACTACTCTAAGTCCAGGCAGCAGTTAATGTTGTTTTCTTTACGAATCGGCGTAATACCATGGCTCCTCATTCGGCCCGTACAAACGACCCGGGACTAGCATTGGCATTGGCACTGTAGATGCGAACAATTCTCCTAAGTTGCTGCTGCCTCTGCTGCCGTCCTCGGTCCCAGCAGAACTAGTTGCCACCGCCGCAGCTCCCTTGGTGGTAGGCCGAGCCTTGCCGTTGGCCTCTAGCACTGGTACGACTACTCCGCACTCCCAGTTCCGACAGTTCAGCTTCGGTTTGCCGGTCTTGCTGTCCTTGACTAGGCGGCCCCTGTTTTTGATGGTTAGCCTATCCATTTTCTGGGTCCCCTCTCTTCTTCTCTATCCCACTTCTCTTCTGGGGATGGAGGAAAAGCTGTAGAGGGCTGCAGAGGCTTTTTTGCGACGTCCTCAACCTCTCTCCACACCCCCGACGAAAGGAGGCTAACTTACCAGGCGCTCTCGGAGAGGTTGGCGCTGCCCACATAAGCCCAGGCGCTAGCCTTGTGGCTGGGTGCATCGGCGACCTCCGCCGCGCTGGATGCGTGGACGAAGATGGCCTTGGTGTGTAGGAGAAGCCCTTTCCGAGAGCTGACACAGTCGCGAACCAGGTCTGTGGGGAACTTGGGCTGGCGCCACCATTTGGCCTGAACGCAGATCGTCCCCGCCGCCTATCGAGGAACGGCGATAGAGCACTTGGTTAGCTGACCAAAACACCACTTGCGTCGTTCAAGGAGGGGAGGGGGGAGAGGGACAGAAGGTGGGAAGAGAGAACTAAGCTGGGCTTGCGTCCTGGACTCGATGCGAGATGGTGTGAAGGGCTCCGAGGCATCACTTACCCCTCTTCCGCCAAGGGTATTGACGACAGTGGCCTCTGTCGGGAAGTAGATACGGAAGTGGTCCCTTAACAGCCGAGGCGTGGAATGCGATGCTCCTGCTGGCTTCCGGGTACCTCTCGCGTTGTATTCCTTCATGCCATTATCTCCTGTTCGGCGAGGAACGGGGAGGGGAACTCGTCAGCGCAAACGCGTCCTTGGAGTTTTTGCGTACGTATTCGGCCGCGACAAAGGGACCGTGGCTTACCTTGGCAGGCGTTGTAGATTGATGTGATTAGGTCGCTGGTGAGGGACCCAAGTGAGGCGCTCTGGCAAGTACCGACATTAGCGGGTACCTGCACAATGACATGGTGCTCAGGGGTGGACGTACAACACTGTCGACCTCGATCGGAGATGTGGTAGCGAGCCCAAGGCTGGACACCACATTGCCGAGGCCACAATAACCTAAATTAGTTTTCAGCAAGGCCGCCACCATCGTGCCATAGGTCCCCTCTGATGGAGGGGGGCACAAGCCACTCACCTGTCCGCCTGCGCAGGTCGTTGGTATGTGATCCGGGACTATTTTGCAGCCACAGCCAAACGGATGTCAGCTGCTGTGGGTAGGTTTATGGTTATGGGGTGACATTTTTCAGCCTCATGTGACGTACATGGAGTAAACAAACCCAAGCCTCTCGGTCCGTGAGAAGTCGTAGCTGGTGAGGCTGTCGACCATCCTGTCGTCGACCTTGGCCTCGGTCAGAAATCTCGCTAGCTCCGTGCTGAACTGTGTGGGGTTGTGGTCGGCGGCATCGCCTAGGCGAGGGAGATCGATCAAGAACACCATCTAGGTCGCAGGGGAAATGGTTAGCCAGGACTTGACGTCAACCCGGCCCAATGGGCATGTCTAGATTTCCCGCCTACATTCTCCATCACGCCCGTCTCCCCCCAATCGTAAGGGACCAGATTTCCAGTAGGGACAACAATCCGAAGCTGGTCGGGGTACTTGAGAAGCTGCAACTTGGAGTGCATGGCACCAGGCCCATTCATTGGCGGGAAGCAGAAGCGGACATTGGGGGGTGCATTGGCCTGCATTTCTTGTTGCTACAGAATCTACGTTAGTCGATGCGAGGCCTAGATGAGGTTCACGATGGGGGTACACCGAGAATACGAGTGTCTAGAATCAGGATATGTTCTTACTTGGGTCTCGTTTGTGGCGAATGCAAGTAGAAGTAACTTGGTCCTTCTGAGATCTACTTTGGATAGCATCCACTCCTCGTCCCATTGGAAGGAGGATATGAGTGCGAGTTCCAGTTTTTCTTTCTGGAACACCTCCTCGATTTTGATATCATCAGAGGCTCGAGGGTGGCCCCTTGCCCATGTCCTCTTGACAACACCATCGGGGAAATAGTTACTTGACGCCGGCTGTGTGGACGGAGAGGCCGACATAGGGGCGGCTTTCGGGGTGCTGGTTCCTGCAGATTTCATCTTCTTGGGGGGTGGCACTTCGACGACATCGTCGCCATCGTCAGGGGTCGTCTCCTGATCCAGACGGGGTCGCTTTGCAGCTAATCTCTGCAGCCGCGCCTCTTCCATTGCCTTTCTGTCTAGTAGGCGTAGCGAGAAGTTTCCTGCAGTGTGCGACCCGTGGTCGGGTTGTGACTCCTCTGGCTTGGCGGGCTCGGGAGACTCTTTTTCATGTTCCTGCAACGATAGGGCAATGGCATATCGGAGGGCCTCCTCATCGTCCATATCGTCAGGCTGGACCGCCGAGCCGCTTCCCGGCCCAGACATGGTTAGGTTGGAGTTTGAATAGCTAGTGCGGCAAATCTCGTGAGCAAAAATAAGGTGTGTCAGGCACAAATTAACAGATCTGCACAGCCTTGAAGCTCGGATCTGCGTGAACGACTGAACGACGCGCTTCTTGCCAGGTACATGTGATCTGGGGTACGCGAACTCACGTGACCGTAAGTGAAGTTTCATTACTCGCAACCTCACCGAAGATGAAAGCTTAAATCTCATTCATGACTAATGTGGTCATTCGGAATCCCTTAATGGCCATTTAAGTTTTTCTTCTCCCGATTCCGATATTGCCTGTGATTGAGATTGGCTATGCCAAGCTTCTCTATCCACCTCAAGTCGATGCTTTGCATGAAATTTGCCACCGACAGTTTATGCAGGCGTAGAGGCACCATTGGCGCTGTCGTCAAAGACCATGAGCGAGATGGCTGTGCGCCTCAGCCAAAGCAAAAAGGGAAACTTTCCTCGAAGGGGGGGAACCAATGGACCAAGAAACTAGAGATCTAGACCTCTGAACCGGACAGTAAGGTGGTCGACCCACTGAACTAATGCGTGACCCCTGAAAAGCTGGGTTTAGTTTTACAGGCTGTATTCGTGTGAGCCTCAGAAGTTGAGGTGGATGGTGGATGGTGAGAAACTCTGAAAGTGTGGGTGAGAGGTGGATCAAAACTCCATGGTTGGAAGAGTATCCACCGACGGAGTGATGGGTATGGTCCTCCTGTTGCAGATTGCTAGCGTGTTCTTGAGAAGGATGCCTACCTACACGGGGATATTATCAATATTCGTACAGGCGTACGCCAAGTGCAGACGTACGAGCCGGTCCACGGGCCTTTGTGCGAAGGATGGGCTCCTTTTCATCAATTTGTAACCACTTCTGAATATCTGATGCTAATTGTGGTCATCCTGCCGCAGTGGCTTCTAGGAACGAGGAATTGAGAAGAGTTCAGATGCATCAAACATCATGAATTTCTTTCCTCTGACTCTTGCAAAGATGTTCTGTTGGCTTGAGACTGGGTACATGTCAGGCACAGCTGGCCTTGTTCAAGGCTCGCAGATCGATCATCGTCATTCAAGCTTTCGCAGTTCCCTCGGAATTCGGGAAAAGCCATGGGAAGAAGATGTTCCGTAAACGGCGAGTCTTTGCGGTGGTACAAGCATTCCCATCTTCATTGCGTAGGGGAGCTGAGCCAAAAGCATCAAGTGAGTCTAGCATACCGTTCTTCAGGACCCCTCTCGCAAGACATAGTATATATGAGATTATTGTATCATTTTATGATGATGATTGAATTCATTTACAGAATACCAAGGTCGTACCTCAAGGACCAGACGCTGAGCTCGGTGTAATGCAGACCATGCTGAATGTCACCCACTTGGCCCGGGCGAGGAAGTCACCTGTCCTTACCAATGGTTTGACTAAATTGATAGACAAATTGCTCAAATTTGGATTCAAGGAATCAAATTTGGCTTATTGTAAGGGAAAGAGACCTTCTCCCTCTGCTGCCTACAACACGACCCCTGCTGTAAGACTCTTAGACAGGAAGGAGAGCCAAAAAAAAAAAAAGGTAGAGTGGTGAAGGATCTTGCCCAGCTGATGGATTATATTTGCACATCTGGTGAGCACTATATACTGTGTTCAATATTTCTGAAAGCAGAGTCTAGAGGATGTTCCTCGAAAGGATAACTTAAAGAACGAATGGCTGTTGGCTCGTTTCATTTTCCATTTCAGGACGATACTGCCAGCCATCCACTTCTTTGCCTCTTATTTTTCACACAGTAAATTTCACTGTCTAACATGATACGAAATTGAACAGTTATCATTGCGCATCATGTATTCCGAATGAATACTAGCCACCTTCCTTTTCACGGCCAACACCACCGTAGGCCCTGGCGCTGCGGAATCTGGGCACGATCCTCTTACATCAAACTTGTCCCCTGATACGAGTCATTGCCCAAGCTTCGACCAATTTGCACTTGTTGAAGCAAGCCACGGCCTCAAGTGCCCCGCAAAAATCTCGAGTCCAGCTGGTTGGGGATGGGTGTCGACAAGCCGGCGGGAAGCCGTGTCTCTATGTGCAAAGTGGCAGATTAATCTGTATACTAGGCCTATATCTCGTCAAAGATTCCATGAATAAGTCTAAATAGTCGCAGAGTTTCTGGAATGTAATGAACTCAACGCAAATCATGCATCCCGTCTCTCTTACTGCAACTGCTACAATGCTCGCGCTCTCCGGTCTATGCGTACGCACTTTCCCCGAGCCTGCGGTAGACCATAAGGAAAATCACCTAGTGTAGACATAAGGCGGCTGGGCATAGCCAGTTCGAACCCCCAAGGAAGCTATGCTGCATGGAGAAGCCTAGATATGCATTCTGATGATTGCCCAAAGGGACGCTCAGAAGGAAAGATGACCGATGAAGGGCACTAGAGGGTTGAAGTCGACTGAATAAACAACTTCTGGGAATATGAGCTGTCCTGGATGGAGATCCAATCTCCTATATGATCAGGGACAAGTCCCTCCGCCAGTTATTGCTCTTGAGCTTATGCTTCCATATTGAAAAGGAGTTCAGTTTAGATGGAATCAATGTCTAATAGATAGCTTTTCGCCCTAGGCAGATGAAGATACTTTAATACCATCGGCCATTTGAAGGATTTCTATAGCTGTCTCCGTTGTCTCAAGAACCCCCCGGAACTTGTACATCGTGGAACCGGAAGCATAAGATAGATGAGCACTGGCTATCTGGTACTTTCTACCGGCTCATTAGGGCGCGTACCAGCAGTTGAGATACTTCTTATATAATACCAGACCCTCCCAAAAGAAAAATGTTGGTCAAGTAGATAGGCCAGCTTAGAAGCTGCGTGTGAGATGGTCCAACGAGCTCGTGCTCGCTCAGTAGCCTTCCTATAGAGATGACTGACTCTTTTTCCAATTTAATTTTTTTTTAAAAAAAAATTAATAAAATCGAGCTGGGTGTCTGCGTGAGTCTCAGATGAAGGTCTCAAAAACAACCGTTCTTATTTCTTAGCCAGAAAGCTGTCAGTCGAAGCCATCGAAGCTCGATCATGGGATTCGAGCTGGGCGGTTGCCAGATTTACCACAGAAGGTTGCTGTCGGATGGGGACAAAGCGTCTCTGCCTGGGCGCACACAAACCCAAGTACCTTGTGGACACCGTTGTTGTGGGGCAAGCTGATTACATAAAATCAAATAATTAAACCGCTCTTTCTCCTCTCCTGCTTCCATTTTTTTTCATCTCTCTATCAATTCCTCTGTGACTATGAGAATGCGGCGACCTCATAGTGCGATACCATTACTCGCCCCAATGCTGCCAAATTAGAGACTTACCGTTTCTCCTCTCCCATTTTCTGTCCTCCGAATACCCCAATTCCCCGGATTGTGGCCGCTGGAGGTGCTACTCACCCACTGAGTCTTCCAGCCTGGCTGTGAGCAGTGGACCCACAATAACCAACGACCCGCAAGCGCCTGATTGGCTGCTGCACAGTTCATCTCACCTCGCTCTCAGAATGCCATCAGCCGTCACCAACTGCCACCGCACATGCTAATACTATATGACCACACATAGATAAATGCCTTTCGGAGATAATCCAGTATAGGTCGAGTGGTTAATGCACTTGTATTGATCACTCGACGTTCCCGGTTCGAACCCCGGTTCGTTCAAGGCTGTCAAAAGCGTGGGATTGAGACTAACAGGTGCTGGACCATGTTATCTCCCCGGAGATCACTCCGGGCTTATGAGATGTAGTAGGCATACCCCGATGCTGTGCGAACTCTTTTTTTGGATCTTTTTGGATTTTATTTCTTCCCGAAAGGTCTCCCCATCATCATCACATTATCTGGGGATCTTCTTGGAGAGCCACAGCATGAGTTCTTGCACGCGACGACGAGCTACCCGGACAACACTGCTATTTTTGTAAGGTCATTTCTGTTGCCAGTAGTAAGAAATGGTCGGCCACGTAGATTCATACAGGTGTATTTTTATTGACGAGCATGAACGTCTCTACCAAGTCCGCTTTCAAGCTGCGTTCCGGCTTGTGTATTCAGACCTGCCTCCTACCCAGCTTGTCCAACCCAATATACCAATGATGCCGTTCACCAATTCCAGTTGCAATGGGTCACGAGCTCTCCCCAACCACGGGCGGAGTTTACTCGACACCGTTGGGCTTTTTTTTAATGCCCCAACCGTGCATGAAGCTTGTAGTTGGGCAATATTCTGCTCCGTTCAGCATTTTAGCACTATGGTCCTTGACCATTCTCTCTCTCTGCTGATATTACTTGACATGTCCAAGATATCCCTTGCTTATGGCGAGAAAAAAAACACACTTCATATGAAACTCTTCTAGAGATCGCTGCATTTGAAGGCCGAGGACGCCGTGGCATTTATAGCATCGATCTCAAGTCTCTAACATGGTCTTGGTCGCAAGTTACGGGTTACGCCACGCAGTGGCTACCAGCCGGATGCTCATTTTCCATCACACTCATATTTTGACAACCTTGGGGGTGCTCGATAATGTGATGTGACCGAGGTGCTCCAGGGGTGCAGGCTGAGGATGTACGTCTAAATGCTCTTCTCAGGCTTAACACATTCCCATTAAGATCGTACTGTACCTCTCAACACACCTTTTCATACATTCTGTCTAAAGAGAATTCTGGTATATCTTATTACCGTATGGATCTCAGGACTCACCTACGAAGATAGTCGGTCGAACGATGTCTTAGCTAGATTATGTCACCGAATGCAACAACTAGAGGTTTGTATTATCTACTGGTGTCTGGACGGCTGATCTATCGTCTGATTTCTTTGATTGTTCTCACTGGCAAGTATCAACTGCATTGGTGGTTACTCGGGCCCGAGCAAGAAGCGACGAGCGCAAGGGTAACACGTCCACGATGAGAGCAATGATGGGAAGAGACTGCTTTGGCATCCACCTTTGAGGAATAGAATACGCATTTTTGTTCTGGATGCAGCAATGCATCCATATCTTGAGGGAGATGGAGGCAAGGTCTGGTACCTCATTGATGTTGGGTTTCGATGGACTTTCTTAGTCGACCAAATTGAGGGGATCAGGTAATCTAGAGCCTCTAGTGGCAGCGGAAACCTGAATATAACGGATCTATTCGCAGACACGGGGTGGTTAGTAGACTCCTACCTACCTGGATTTACACCTCTGGCACCTCACGGTGCTACGTGTCCGGGCGAAACGCTCAAGCCTTAATACATCTGACTTAGGGACAGAAGAAACAGGCAAAATGTAGCGGTAGCTTTGAGTTAAGGTACTCTCCGGTACACTGTAATAGCAGAGCGTGAACCTTGGCTCATTTATTTTGTCGCAAGCCTGACCTGCGGTGCTTTTCCATGGGATATATTAGTCGCTCCCCCCCCTCCTCCTCCCTTCATGATGATTGCGATCTCTTCCTTCTTTACGAAACTCCCTCTCCTCAAGTGCGCTCTTACCGAATGAGCAATAAGTGCCTGGTAGATTCGCTACCAAGAAGTGACTCTGTCTTAACAAGCATTACTGATGGTAACTTCTCACAAATCTCGTCTTCGACGCTATCTCCCTTTGTGGTTGCACTTCGGCGAGCAGTTACAGTCAACCATGAGAAAGTCCAAAATTTTAAACGTAAAAAAACTACTCTTCCCAAACAACTCTTCCCTTTCTGGTTGTGTAAAGGTCTTAATAGCACGCCCTCCAAACACATTGGCAGAAGAGAAGAGCAAAGGGCTCTAGACAGTGTTGATGTTAACATGCTTCAAGTGCGTAGGGAGCTCACAAAAAAGGTCGAACCGGGCACAATTGATCTGGTCACAATTGAGCTCAATATCCGCAGCCTCTGCACTCTGACGGCCACCTTGGTAGCTCAAACACTGAAATATGGAGCGGATAAAGAAGATGAGTATCTGTGGAGGAGAAAATCAAAAGAGCATGTGAAGGCTGTGGTGGCAGCGGCCCACGGAGGCAAAAATGAAGCCTTGATTTGTGTCATTATTGAGATGGCCGTGGCGGAGGCATTCTACTTCCGAACAGCCCTGAAGCCAGGTGATATGAGATTAGGGACACACTTGGAGGAATATCTTTCCGAGTAGGTAGGTGTCGCTTCTAAGGCTACAGGCAGGAGCATTTAACCCTACCCACCTTCCAGGGGATGGTCAAATTCAAGGATCTAAGGCATCTGCTCTTGGTTCCTGCCTCCCATATCGCTGTTCGTTGTCTTCTCGGTTAAATATTTAATACTATGTGTTTTCTTCATTCCTCTTTCTCCGACTCTATGCCTGCGTCCCATGGCCAGATACCAGACGGTGGCAGGCTCAATTACCTACTGATCTGTTCAACAGAAGGACCAATCATAACGCAGTGGGCATCCATTTCTGGTGAGATGGCAGGGGCAGATCAACTTGCGCCAAGGGTTCTCCAGTGCAGGACTCGGATCGGCACTATTGTGGTACTGGTTTATTAGGATCTGGTTTAATCTACAGATGATTTAGGCTCGGCTTGTACGAGATAAAATGAACAAGAATGGGGAGGGGCTTTGAAGAAGCCAGCGATTTGATGTCTTGGTGGTTGGTCTAGAATTCCCTCTCCAATCGGATTTGTGACAGGATGAGCCAGACAGCACTTCAGCTAGCATGAGTCTGGACTGTCCAGATTTCAGGGGATCTGGCTTACAGGCTCTCTTGGCATTCAGTACTATCGAGACCGACCCCTGTCCAGTCCCACCCAACTTACATGTCCAGCTGAGCTTCAAGACAGCGCTGAGGTGCACAAAAGCAAGCCACCAGAAGCTAGAAAGCCCCTCCCTTTCCTGCTTCAGCCGCAGCCGCAGCCGTCGACAGAGAAAACAAACTTGCCGCACGACGCCTTGGGTATTTTTTTGTCCTTGAACGATGAAAGCCGCCAGGACAGCAGCAAAGGAAGAACCCTGAGGCTCCACGGAGGATCTCAGTGTGTGGACCATGTCGACTCCGCACATCCTTGGTGGGGATCTCTCTGAACTGGTGCGAGATTCGCGGCTGGATGTCGTCTTTGAACGGGGCTGCACCATACACCCCCGAGCTGCGGCAACTCGCCGAGAGAATTATAGCCATGAGAAATGGCTTCCACACCAAGATCCGGTTGGGAAGGGGGGTATGGGACTCGTTTACGTCGAGGAGAGGGAGAGAGTGGGATCTCGCCCTGTCTCGTTGCGGGCAGTCAAGAAGATTCAACTCTCAGGGCGCCCGGAGCAGAGGAAGATGATTAGACGAGAGTTGGAAGCCATGTTTAAATTCTCACAGCCTAGGGTCGGTTTCTTCCTCCTTTTGCTACGGCTCTTAAAGTCATACCTAGCTAACCTGGTCTCAAAATATAGTTCAAGGGTCTCTTCATCCAGCCTTATGGGTGGTTTCTCAGTGGGGACTATGTCCACATAGCCATGGAATATTACGAGCTTGGGGACTTGCAAAAGTATCTCGATCATCCGTTTAAATGCCCAAATGGCCGGCTCCCCGAGCATGAGGCTGGCAGTATCGCCTCGCAGATTTTGGACGCACTTTATGTGATGCACCAGCACAACTTTTCCCACTGGGATCTGAAACCTGCAGTAAGTGAACTCAGCAAATGACAGAATCGACGTTTTGTTTCAATATATACTCACATTTTTTTGAGAATCTGCTGATCAAACAACAACCTCCCAACCCTTGGCTCATCAAGTTGGGCGATTTTGGTATCAGCAAACGGGGAGAGGCAATCAGCAACTTCACATCGCTAGCTGGGACGATAGACTACATGCCTCCAGAACACCATGGATATGGGTCTCGGTCCGGTGGTGATAATTCCCGAGCCGTCGATATGTGGGCTTTTGGATACACAATCTTTCGAGTCTTGACTGGCCAAGGCATGTTCCGCGATGGACACGAGCGCCACTCCTTTTTCAGCAACACATCGCCCTTCCCCGACCATATCCTGCGAAATTTACAGATAAGTGAAGATGGGATCAGTTTCCTTCGGAGGCTGGTCGTTGTTGATCCTGGAGCAAGGATCGACGCAGAAACGGCATCACGAGACCCATGGATTGAGAGACATGATCAAGAGCAGCACCAGCAAGGGGCTTCTATTGCTGAACCCAGCCATACAATCCATGATCAATCTGGAAGAAAGCCACCTAATTCGGCCGTCGATGTTCATTCTCACACCTCGTTGACAGAGACCACTCTATATCCCGGCTGTCCCTCGCCATTCCCCAACAGGCTGAGCACTACTGAGAGCCAGCTTTATACGGTATCAAGTCAGTCCACTCGTGCCTCCGCGGCGTGGCCAACAGCTAGCTATATAGCTCCTAGCTATCATACAATTTCTTATAACACGGTATCAAGCCAGTCTACCCGAGCCTCTGCGGCGTGGCCAACGGCTGCTTATACAGCTCCGGGCCATAGTCCAAGTCCTTTAGATGGAGGTGATAATACGGTTTCAAACCAGACTACCCGAGCCCCGGCGGAGTGGACAATTACCACTCATAAAGCTCCTACCCATAATCCAAATAGTTTGGATGGGGGTAATAACATGGTATCAAGCCAGTCTATCCAGGCTTCCGCAGCGTCGCCAACGGTAACACGAACAACTCCCAGCGATGGGTTAGATTTCCTGGATAAAGAATACAATATAGCAAGAAAGGATGACGCCGAGCTCTTTTTTGCCGCCGCCTCCAGCCAGCGCAGCTCGAACCGTCCACATTCAGTGTCCATATCAGCTCCCACGACACAAACATATTCCCTAAGCCCTGAGCATGACACTACGACTGCACGAAGGTCTGTCCATGGTCCGTTGGTGAATGCCCCTGATAGCTCTCTACCAAAGAGCACGCCATCACCATCTACAAAGGGACCTCCAGCCTTCACACCTGCCCCCTTAGCTCTCTCGCAAGACCTCACAGCGCCCAGCGATCAATACCCCTTTTTCGCCAGAGTCTCAATCTCAACCAGCACGACTATCCATCCAAATCACAGCAAGAAGCACCTGCGAATATGCCTAAAGATGCGTGGTCAGAAGATCTTCCAATTGGTCCCTCGCGCCCTGGAAAAGAGAGTGCGGTCCCAACTGATACAAACCAACTTGATATCTCAGTAAACGACCAATCTGATGTCCCCTATGGGGATCGCTATCAAAAGGCTTTCGTGATAGAGCAGCTTGAAAAGCTTCGCGTGCAAGACCACTTTGATGAGAAGTGTAAAGAGATTATACATGGCGATTACGAACCCCCAACTATACATGAAAGACTTGATATTATTGGAGAACTTGAGAGGACATTAGGGAAGGATCACATAATTGTCATTGATGCACGTTGCGTTATCGCTAAAGAGCAAATCGACGAAGAGAGAAATTTCTTTGAAGCGGTAAGGACATACCAACGTGCTCTTCTTGTGAAGAAGAAGATAATTGGAAGCGATGATCCGAGAACCCTACATAGCATGCACGACTTGGGAGATGCGTTGTCGCGTTACTGCAAGTTTGAAGAAGCGGAGCCCATCTGCCGCGAAGCTCTACGACAGAGAAGGAAAATACTTGGCCCTTCAAATATCGACACCATTGAGAGCTTAGGGGCATTAGCTGCCTGTCTCCAGGGGCAGCAGAGCTTCAGCGAGGCCACTCCGATGTTCCAGGAGGTTGTAGAAGTAAGGAAACAATTCCTTGGGCCTACTGATAAGAGAACTGTTGACGCCATGGTCTCTCTGGGCATTTGCCTGAACCGAGAAGGCAGAGTCCACGATGCAGAACCCATTCTCCGAGAGGCTGTTCAGATTATCAAGAGAGAGCCAGACAGCTACGAAAAGCGAGCGCCAGATGCCGTCCACGTATTGTGCCTCACTCTGTGTCACCAGAGCCGGATTAAAGAAGCGGAAAGGCTTCTACGAGAAGATTCGGATCAGAGAAACCCTGAGTATTTCCGCACTATGGAGAATTTCCATTGGCTATGCTTTGCCCTAAACGCCCTAGAACATTACCAAGAGGCTCAGCCGATGTGGAAACGCCTGGTCAAGATGCTAGAATGGAACCTCGGTAGGGATAACATAACGTCCATGAGGACTAAACAGGCATATGTCCAGCATCTCATCAAGTTGGGTGATACGAAGAAAGCCATGAAGAAATCAAGAGAAGTTTTCGAACGCAGGACGGAAGTCCTCGGCACCACTCATCCCGACACTCTTCACACCATGCAATGGCTCGGCCACCTTCTCCTTACTGAGGAGGGGCCAACCGAGGAAGGACTCAAAGTTTGCCATAATGTCTATCGCTTTACTGAAGAGGCTTGGGGCGCTTACCATCCAAATACTCTCACCACTTCGTTCTGGCTTGGTGATGTAATCATCAGAGCCGGTAACATCAAAGATGGTCGCGAGATACTAGAAGCTCTTCTCCATAAGCAAGAGCTCACCTTTGGCAAAGCTCACAGGGACGCAATAGTGACGAGGGGCAGAATCGCCGCTTCTTTTCTTGATGAGGGTGACAATGCCAACGCAGAGCAGTCGTTCAGACAGATTGTCCAGTTGAAGGAAATTGAATTAGGAGTGGATGACCAGGCCACAATCGACGCTGTCTACAACCTTGCGGACTTCCTTGATCAGAGCGGCAAGTTCTATGAAGCAGAGGTTCTCTTCAGGAGAGTTCGAGCGCATAGGGAGAGGAACTTGGGGCAGCACCACCCCGGAACTCTTGTAGCTGTGACTGCACTCGGGCGGGCGCTGTATTCGACAAAGCAGTATGCTGAGGCAGAGCAGGTCTTCCGCACCGCTCTTCATACCTATGAAGGAAAATCTAACGAGGAGGTCATGCAAGCAGATTTGCAAGAGTGTCTAGCGGTGACATTAACATGCCTGATGCGACATTCCGAGGCCGAAAAGCATTACTATTGGGCGTGGCTACTACGAAAGAATGCCGTAGGCGAGAACGATGAGATCACGCTCGAGTATATGGTCAAATATGCACTCTATCAAAAGGACTTCCAGCAAAAGGCGGACGAAGCAGAGACTCTAATACAAGATGCCGTCCGATTGTATAAGGAGGTGCTCGGCACCGAACACCCGAAGACTCGGGAGACCATTGATACATATGCCCAGATCCTTCTCGAAAATCATAACTATACAAAAGCGATTGAAGTTATCAAAGAGATTAAAAGTCATGAGGATCCATATTCTCCCGAGTTTTTCGCAACCATGCTGAATCTGGGCCACTTGTACAGTCTCAATAACCAACTCAGTTTGGCATTTGAAACCTACACGGAGCTTCTTGGTTTGCAGAAGGCGAGGCTAGGCGATCATGATGCGGCAACGCTGGAGACCTTGCACAGGCTTGCGGAGGTCAGAATGGACCAGGGCGCGTACATTGAAGCCATGGGCCTCGCAAGCAAAGTTGCGAAACTGCGGTCACAATATCTTACCGACGGCTCCTGGAAGGAGAGCCTGAGGTTGGAAGAGGAATGCAAGGAGCGGCTACTACGTTGAAGTGGCGTCGAGATTACCTATCTGGCTATACCGCCGTTCTTGAACAACGAACGTTTCAGGATTAGTGGCAATAGGGATGGAGAGATGAGCACGAATAGTGTGAGGAAACATGAATGACCACCAATCATGGAGAAATGGGGAAATAAACAATGACTACGGTTGAATGTAGAATCGGCATATACTTGTAGTGCTTAGGGTGAAGGATATGGCTGATATGTGGCCATAACTTATAAATTACATATGGGTTAATCAACAGTTACTCATAACCATGTCATATAGACTCAATTTCATTCCAGGCTTCCACCAAGAAGGTCTCTGGGCTCCTGCCACCGGGGGCCCAGGTACGTGACGGTAGAGTAGAGCAGTAGTCATCTCAAATTTCAGTTTGCGGCCCTCAATGAATTTGGCTGTAAGTTTGTCGGCAACTGACGATAAGACCGCGAACATGTCAACCTCGGGACCAGGCTCTTCGCTTCCGTGAAGGCGGAATTCCTCGTGCTCCGGGTGCCAAGTCAATCTTCTGCCTCCAATCGGAATGAAATCCGACGGAGGTAGCACCCTGACCATTCCTCTTGGGATATATCTAGAACGAACGAGAAGGATTTGGAACGCCGTCAAGGTATGAAAATATGTAAGTACTGTGATGAACTCGTCGATGGCTTGTTCAAACAGCTCATCCGTGACGAAGAGCCGTGTAATGTATGGGAGCAGGAGAATTCTGGGCTCGCGGATATCAGGCCCACCATGGAGAAGCTCAGATCCCTTGAAGAAGTCACCCCAGAGGCTTGTTTCGACAAAGAGCACGTCAGTTTCCGGGTCGAAGGACTTGAGGTAGGCCTTTCGTCCATAATCGGTAGGGCAAAGCTCGAGGCCAAGTTTGCGTGCCCAATGGAGTGTAACTTGTCGAGCTTCGCGGTTTACATTAGCTATCTCGACTTCGACAGGTCGCCGTTTGATCATCTGATAGTCGAACATGACGCATTCATGGGGCCCGTCGGGGAGGAGTTGGGTCAACCCAAACAGCTGAAGGAGACATTCCGGGGTCACATTGGTCACTTATCATAAAAGCAGTGATGAAACCGGTTTAGCCCACGGGCATCGTTTATTGGCGCCTATAACGGTAGTAATTAAGCAATCCATCCTGCAGCTCTGAGCACAATCTTATGCAAGCAAAAGGAGAAATGTCGTTATAATCTGAGGTTATGCTTTCCCCATACATTATCAGAATGCAATTTCAAGAGAAATGGGATACTTGCATGATCCCCATCTTCACCATAACTAAAACCATTCCATTACTCATTGCAACATTTGGAACTACGTATCCCCAGTTATCCTACCAAGCGGGTGACGCTGGAAATGGCACACCCAAATGAAGACCCAAATGAAGGCCCAAATAAACACCCGAATAAACATCTAAATATCTAAACAAATAGCTCATTCTCTAGAGATTAGAGAATATCAATATTTAGGCCTGGATATTCTGTTCCTTTAAATTTTATAGCGAGTATTGAAAGATAGTAGATCAAGCATGTGTTAATAGAGTGCTTAAGTGTGCCATTTCCAATATCACCCACTTACCTACTTTCAATAGTCATTGTTTCTAAAACGATCGGACAGGCGCTGGTGAAACAAGCTGATGTCACATAAGCGAGGTAGATGAGTCTATGAAATCTTCAAATGATTGCGACTAATTAACTAATTGCGAATCTAAGATACAGATTTATTTTAGCGAAGTTAACGATTTGGGGGGAAATACACATATAAGAAGCAAGGTCACACCAAGGCTGGCGCTAGTCCGTGGTGATTCATAGGATTTTCTTCAACTAGCTTCATTTACCTCTCCCCTAAGCATAATTTCTAGGTATTGCCATCTCTAAATTGGTCAATTACCCCTTGATCAGGCTGGACCAAAACGCCGTCGCCGTGCCGATGGTGGGGAACCACGAGCTTCATGGAGATCGGAGAATCCGGAGGCTAGTCAATGACGTCCACGAAGCCTTAATTAAGCGAGGAATCTTGGTAGATAAATGGTCATTAAATACGGCATTCTGTAAATCTTTCTATTTGATTTGCTGTGTTACTTTCTGTTGCAGGCGCCTTGTAAAAGTGCACTTGAAGATCATCCAGCTCATGATGCCTTCAACCAACAAGAGTAGACGCCATGTGGTCATCGTCGGCGGCGGCGCTGCAGGAATGGTGAGAATATTCGACCACGACCAAATTTGACTACCGTGTGCTGATATGAATGAGAATGAAGTCGTGCGCTGCTACTCTTGCGAACCATCCGGAGAAGTTCAAGGTCACGCTGGTAGAGAGGGCGAATGTCGTCGGTGGCCAGGCCACGTCCATACCATTAGACCCCCAAAAGTACGGTGCCTCATGGATGAACAATGGCGTTCAGGGAGGTTCAAAGGTCAGGCTTTGTCGTATCTGCCGCCGACTAGAGCCAGCAAGAGTCATGCTAACAACACGCCTATTCCTACTCTAGATATTCAAGCATACGTTCAACTTCTTCGAAAAGTACCATCATCCGCCTGAAGAGATCCAGCTACAGGTTTCATTTGGCAAGGGCGAGGATGGATTCTGGACCAACGTGTTCCCAAGCAACTTGGTATCCAAATATGCCAAGGATATCAAGCGCTTTGGCTTCTTCCTCAAAGTCGTCAAATGGGCTATGCCGGTTCTGGGCCTGATCCCCATCAGCATCATGCTTCGGCTGTTTCTATTCAGCAAGGATTTCGGCGACAAGATGGTCTACCCTCTGATTGCCCTGTTTTTGGGCACCGGTAATCAGACGGCCCATGTCCCCTCGGCAATTGTCGAGAGGCTATTTGACGATCCTAACATGAAGCTCTGGGACTATGATCCTCAAACGCTACTACCCAATTTACCCACCATGGTAACGTTCGACCACTTACATGAATTCTACCGCAAGTGGCGCGAGGATCTAGAAGCGAGAGGTGTGTCCATCAGGACCGAGACAGAAGTCAGAACCGTCTTATCCAGGTCCAAGCACGGCGTCAAGCTTCGACTCCGAAGCGCCGCTACAGGTGAGACAACAGTCGAAGATTTCGACGAGATTGTGTTCTGCACGCTCGCGGACGATGCCCTCAGCATCCTCGGAGATTCAGCAACCTGGCGGGAGAAGTTCGTCCTTGGGGGTGCAGCCTTTTACGACGACATCACCGTCACGCACAGCGACACCAAGTACTTTGAGCGCCATTACGAGACCCAATTCAAGTCGAATCTTTGCGCCGAACCCAAGTCCGACGAACAAAAGAAACAGATATCGTTCGCAAAGGGCGAGGACTCCCAGAATGGCTTCTCGCCAATGTACTTTACCTACACATACCCCTCCGACCCGCGCCTCATCGAGATGTCCTTCAACTGCAGCAACTACCAGCACCAGCTGAGGAAGCCAAACGCCAAGGCGGACGAGGAGTACCAGCCAGTCTACCAGACCATCTTCCTGAACAAGAAACAGAAGCATCTCTGGACCATCGACGAAATCGATGACGCCAAGATCATCAAGAAGAACTGGTGGCACCAGCTCGGCCATCGCTGGCAGCACTACCTTCGCGTGGTCCCGGGCATGATGTTCCTCCACGGGCGGAATAGCACGTATTTCGCCGGATCGTGGACTCTAGTGGCAAGTTTTCTTTCCCCTTTCCAGCGTCTAGCCACGCCAGCTAATCGACTGACTGTTGCTTACAGAACATGCATGAGCTGGCCTGTGTCAGCGGGATTGCCGCGGCATACCATCTTGGGGCGGACTATGTCAAGTTTGATGAGTTTGCGGAGAACTTCTTTGCAAAATACCTCTTACTCTCTCATGGCATGGTGTACTCTCGGCAGGAAAAGAAGAGGGCCAAACGAAGTACATAGGTAGGGGGAATGACGCAGAAAGGGATCAAGTTTATCATATATGCAACACCCATTTGGAAAATCACATGCTATAAATAATACATACTTATCATTCATACCAGTTCTATGACAAAACAGTATTGGATTCATCACAGGTGAGCGGTAAGCAGTATGAGAAATCTTTCTCGATGCCATATAAATCGCCCGAAATTATCTCTAGCTCTGATGTTAATGGCCAAATCTGGCAAGGATAATGTCTAATATCATGCTTCTGGGGGCGCCCATCCATCCAGCGCTGAACGCCAATTCGCTGCCACCATGACCAAGACGTATACGAGGGTATCATGAAAACCAGCCCAAAAGCAGATGCCAAAACCCCCATAAAAACCACACATCAGGGATCATCATCCAAATCCATATGCTCCCAAAACATTAAAGTCAGATATGAAACGGTGAACTTTCAAGAGCTGTTCACCTCAGCCAAGTAAGAGTGTCGAGAGGGGTACCCCCACAGCAAAACAAGATGTAGGTTGCTGACCTCCAATTTAAGATTATACCAAGTCTTAGACTGCTACTAAGATCAAGAGTTCTCCGAGATGCAAATCCACAAAGCATAGACGCTCGAGATTGTTTCCCATTCGGGCAAGATATAAGCCAGCGCACAATCAGTGACATAGAACCACCTTGAATTGTTGTCAAGATGTGTTGTCATGATCAGAAACAGTATTATTGTGTAAACAGACGGCGTTCCGTCGAAGGCGAATCAACCGCGTTATCGAGCTTCAAAATTCGACGAAGATCGTTTTCCATTGCTTGAATAGTATGGGTTTGATGCCCAGCATGCGGTGAGTTGTTGACGGGAGCTGGTCGGGGAGAAAATCCAGCATGCGGATGGGCGGGCGCGGGAGGAGTTCCCCCAAGTGGAGAGGGGTTGGTTGGAGATGCCATATGTCCACCGAAGAGGAATTTTTTCAATGCTTCGGTAGGGTCTTCGATGGGTTCATTCGACGACAAAACTTGATGCTGAATGGGTGCAGGACGGTTCGGTCCCGATCGAGCAGCCTTAATCCGATCTTGGTAGGGCGTTGAAAAGGCTGGCCCAACAGGTTGTCCAGATGTGCCATTCAGCTCATCATAATCGATTCCATGGGAGGCTCGGTTGGTGGGAGTTGAGCGAGTGGGAAGCTGAGAGGATGTTTTAGGAACCAATGGGGAAGAGAACGAGGGTGGGGTAGCAGCATTGAACACATTGGGACTCTGCCCGTGACGCTCTCTCTCCTTCTCCTGGCGATGAGCGCGAAACATGAAATCCAAAGGCGATTCGCTCGCCTTAGCAGCAGGAGATGGGCGATGAGGGGTGGGGAGTTCATTATCAGTAGTAGGAGGCGAAGGCTGTTGCTGAACAAATGCCGGCTCCTCTTCTTTCGCTGCCGGTGAGTCGATGGGAGGCTTTGCCAAGAAGCTCGGAATTGGCAGTGCAGAAGGCGCCGGGGAAGCGTGGAAGGTAGCTCCAGCGAAAGCCGGCTTGAGCGAAGCCGGTCGCTGAGGGGTTGTATGGCTGGGATGGTCAGGCTCTGGCGAGGTGGTGGTGCCCGCATTCTTCTGCCTGGCCGTCTTGATCTTCATCCGCTGTTTGGCATTGGTGGCTTGGTTCGATTTCGGGCCGGGAGACGTATAACTTGTCTTGCTTGGGGTTTGAGGCGCGACCCCATAATGCGACGACTCAAAGGCAGCAGCATCATTCTCAGAGGCGTAGGCCTTCTGAACGGAATGCTGAACCTGATTTTTGCCTCGACGGCGACGGTTCGGTGACGGTCTTTGCTGAGTCGAGATGTCGGCCATTTTTGTGTGCTTGTGGATGGATGTGGGAGGGTGCTGCAAAGGCTGTCCAGGCTATGAGTCGGGAGGTTGGTTTGCCACAGGTGGGGATGATAAAATGATGGAGGGAGGAAAGCTAGTTTGGTTCGAGGATTTCGGGTCGTAAGTCAAGTTCATCGGTGTGACCATGTTGCGTGCGAGCTACTACCCAGGATTGATTGTGGAGGTGAGTCGAGGGTTTTAGTATGAGAATGAGCAAGTGAGGCAGTGGAGAGAAGGGAAGGGAGAGCAGGTAAGGCAGGCAGGTCGCAGAGACTGACTGTAGTAGGCTTTGGAGTCAGGTCGGATAGCACCAACCGCCCAGCCCATGACCCTACACTGCCTTGCTGCGTCCGTGCTCAGCCCAGCCAAGCTGAAGGTACATGCACGACTAGAACAGCGCCGGCCGCTACTTCTTTACACTTTCGGATACCTCAGACTCTCTCCACAGGCCCCGTTCCACCGTGTATCCAGAGGTACTGCCAAGTCATTCATGCGCCCAGAGAGCCCAAGTTCCACCCAGCAACAGTTCGACTGGGGCTGCTGCCGCACACATCGAGTTGCCCCTCCCTCACTCCCTTCCCGGTGCTCTGCATATTGCAACGCATGCGGCGTTTGCTGAGTCGCCAAACAACATGGACACAGGTCTGCATTATGCGTCAGCTTGTTGTGTTATGACCCTTCCCAAGGGTCCTACCTTAGTACCCAGCTAGAACTATATTCGATGGCCTAGTACTTTGGAATCTTGCCTCGGCAGCCTTTGTCGCTCATCATTTTCGTATCTTGTAGGCTGCACATGATTTTAGCTTTAGGCATCTTGAATTGAAACCTACGTAGCACTTCCCCACTGATACCAGTCCAGCTCCAACCTTTCGCCCCCAGACTACTGGCGCGCTGTCATATATCTGCATTGCTTTTCGACGATCTGATTCCCTTTCATCAACCCTTTCATCAAAGTAAAACATAGTCTTCTACGGCATAATACGCATTGTACCTACTTGCGACGCCGACCAGCAGATGAGACTGCAGGGCGCAGGCTCCAGCTCTTCCCGGGTACCCCACCGATTGCAAGGAATCTCCACTAAGGCAAGGTACTGAATCCAGGCGATAACGATAACACTGATACCGGACCCCGATGACAACATCACCTGCCGTTGTCGCTTCTACCCCAACCACCCAACAAAGCCGCCCTCGGCTATCACTGCTTGCCTTCCACTATCCGCGACCTATCTCCTACTGAATCGAAAATACCGAATATTGACGCTACTGCCATCATGGTAGCTCGCAAGAGCGGCCTTGGAGGTCGTACAAACTCCCCAGGGAGACTCCCCGTTACCTCAATCTTGGTGTCATTCCTAGCGCTTGCTGGCTCAGCAACAGCGGCAACCTGGTCATACGGAGATGCACTCCTTCCCGGGCCAGTTCTCCCCAGCAAGCCGGATTCTGTTCGACCATCGGAACACGTCTTCACCCTCCGACACGTCTATCACCATGGAACATACGAACATCCGACCCTTCATCGTGTACGGGACGTGACCCCGGAGGATTCGCGAGTATTCCTTGCCGCAGAAGACGGTCTCGGCGAAGTGAACCTCCCTCATCTAAAGGCCCGGAGTCGAGGGGATAGAATCGAACGTTTAGTTGATAGACGGCCCTCAGTTGTGGATCCTATGGTTGCACATGCTCGACAGCATGGGTACGTTGCTGCCATGGACGCTTCTGCATGGTCGACGGATGAAGTACCTGCGCCAGATGTCACGGACAAGGACACTGTTCTAAGTCTAGCGTACATGGCCGCAGACGCCTATGTTGAGGATGAGAAACAAACTGATTGGATTGATGTTGGCGGTCCTTTCAACCGGAGCGATGACTTTGGCTGGGAGAGTGATGGGCTCCGGGGCCATGTGTGGGCAGATGAGAATAACTCGACCATCGTCATTGGACTCAAGGGCACAACAGCTGCCGTGTTCGACGGGGATGGCACAACGACAAATGATAAGGAGAATGATAACCTCTTCTTCAGCTGCTGTTGTGCACAACAAGGACAGTGGACTTGGCATCAAGTTTGCGACTGTGCCACTGGAACATACTCTTGCAATAACACTTGTGTAAGAACTGCCCTTATGGAGGAGAACAGATACTATACCGCCGCTCGAGAGTTGTTCTCCAACGTCACCGATCGCTACCCCAACTCCAACGTGTGGCTCACTGGACACTCGCTTGGCGGAGCTGTCACATCTCTTCTGGGTCTGACATATGGCTTGCCGGCTGTCACATTTGAGGCCGTCCCAGAAGCTCTTGCTGCATCCCGACTAGGCTTGCCTGTCCCTCCCGGGGCGGACCACAATACTCCTCAAACTCGCCAGTTCACTGGGGCATATCACTTTGGCCACACAGCGGATCCCGTCTATATCGGCACATGCAATGGCGCTACCGCAACTTGTTCATTTGCAGGGTACGCAATGGAGTCGGCATGCCACACTGGTAGAGAATGTGTCTATGACGTCGTTGGAGATCTCGGGTGGCGTGTAGGAATCGGCACTCACAAGATCCGGGCAGTCATCAAGGATGTCCTTCTGAAATACGACGATGTCCCAGAATGTAACTATACGCCTGAATGTCGAGATTGCGCACCCTGGAAGATGTACGAATCAAACGGCACGGAAACGACAACAACGTCACATTCCTCAACCAGCACTACCAGGACTCGAACCCGCACATCAACATGCGAGACCCCGGGGTGGTGGGGATGCTTGGATACGACGACATCCACAACTGAAGCGTCTACCACAACATCCACATCCACATCTTCAACGTCGACCTGCAAGACCCCCGGGTGGTTTGGTTGCAATGATAAGACAACCACGACCACCGACTCATCCACGTCGTCTGCTACTTCCACGTCTACCTGCAAGACTCCCGGCAACTTCTGGGGTTGCCGTGATGAAGTGACTTCGACTACCCAGGCGCCTACGACCCAGATGGTCCCTCAGATTACCAAGGCGCCAACCCAGACCGATGGGAACTGGAATAAATATATAGACGACGAGATTTGAGAAATCCCAGTCACCCTCTTTTTTGACAGAATTAGCAACGGACACAGTTATCATTATACACGCATACTGGCAGTAACAAACTCAGATTAGTTTGCCAAGAAGGGAGTTTTGGACATGACGGCGCACGATAGCTTTATGGATGGATAGATTGATTTGATGGTGTGGGCGCAATTACATGTTTCGAAATCATAAACCAGATTGAATTGTTTCTTCAACTCTCATCTCTTTTTTTTCGGGTCGTTCTTAGAGATACAATCAATCACTGTGATACTAGATAAAGGGCCCTTTTTGACCCTGGTTTGCTGGACTGGTAGCTAGCCTTCAGGGCTCATAGAGAGAGAGATATGTTAATAATGGAAATGTGCTTGTATGGCTCTCATCGAAATATACGCAGCCAAAGCTGGTTTTCATATTCGTGCTGTATCATCTCATGAATTCTTGCCCTTATTAGATAAGAACGACTTTCCGTCACTAAGAACAAGGAGACAAAAATTAGGCAGCGATTATTGTCAGAATCGTTCCCCCTAATCTGTTGCCCCTGAAATCGTTCGTTTTTCCCGCTCTTCGGTGGTTCCTTCCTTGAAGTAAAACACCGGTTTCCTCACGACACCGTCACAGTCCCACCTTTTACCGGTACAGTCAGCAAGGTCGAATTGCGGGAGGTGTGCTGGAAAAACCTTTATCCGGTGCGAGTCCCAGCTTTGTGCTCGGGCACCTTTGTGAGCGGCGCTACGTGGGGTTGATGAGGAAGCTGCCTGGTGTTAGCTGATCGAGCTCCTGCCCAGCAGCGGCTGCCTTGCTCCAGTGGGGTTCATCTATCTAACCTCCATCCAGACAGTGACACACCCGTCACCCAACCACGGAAAGAAACCACACCGAGCAGAGACGTCTTGGACATTTGGTTGTCTTCTCTTTTCTACCCGACATCACAATTATCATTCCCCGGTGACCGAGATCCCAGCTTTCAAGATGGCTGACGTCGAGATGAGCGATGCCCCAACCACCGTGGCTAAGAAGGCGGACGGAGCCGTCGAGAAGAAGAAGTTCGAGGTCAAGAAGGTATGCCACTCGCCATGTTTAGAATGGGATCTTTTCCCTCTTTCTTTCGGGCGACAGAGTCATGCTAATGCGAAACAGTGGAACGCCGTTGCACTCTGGGCCTGGGACATTGTTGTTGATAACTGTGCTATTTGCCGAAACCACATCATGGATCTTTGTACGCACGCCACGGTTCCGCTCTCCACGATGACCCATTTTCGCTAACCTCTTTCTCTACAGGCATCGAATGCCAGGCAAATCAGGCTTCGGCGACAAGCGAGGAGTGCACAGTTGCTTGGGGAATCTGCAACGTGAGTAAACACCGTCTGGCTAAACCTGTGAACTCTATCTGACACATCACTAGCACGCCTTCCATTTCCACTGCATCTCTCGATGGCTCAAGGCCCGATCCGTCTGCCCGCTAGACAACAGAGACTGGGAATTCCAGAAGTACGGTCGATGAATGAAACGTTTTAAAAAGGCATTCGAGATACAAGCTATGTACATAAGTATTGCAATCCTTAGAGATGGCTCGTTACGGAGGAACGGATTCTTGGAACGGACGGGTGTTTGCTCGCAGATGGGTTTCGGGTGAACAACATAATCGGCGGTTGGTATTTCTCTCGATCTATCCAGTGCTAGCCGCCCTAGAACCGGCGGGCAGCCATTTGACGGGGTTCCTGTTATAGAATGGCCACGGTGGCACAACAACCAGAAAGGTCAGAAGAGTCCCAGCTCCTCCAATATACAGCGCCAACAAGATATCTTGCTTGGTGTATCCGACGTTGAATGCCAGTAACTTCATATCGATATCATGTTAGCCTTGATCTTCCAGGGTGATGGGTGAGATGTGTTCGTACTCCGGAAACTGCAAGCAATAAGGTAGCGATAACTTCAGCTCGCCTCTGGCCTTCGAAATCCTGTGTTGAAAACAAGTTAGCCAGATGTTGTATTGCAGACAGACAGAGGTGGGATGCTTAGCCGTACAATAACACCATCCACTAGGTCGCGGACTTGGTCCAGCAGTTCTTCAGCCATGGTGAAGTCAGTGGGTAGGCTTGATAATGTGGCAATTGAGCAGAATCCCTAGTGCTAGTGAAGGACAATCGATTGTTGGCGGGTGGAATACAAGTCGCTGGAGTGTCTCTCTGGGAGGCGTTTGGAATGTAGCGTACTGACCACGTCAAGCAATTGGACAGACAGCTGGTGCAGCACTGGAGCCTCAGACCCACTGGCTGTCAAGGGTCCATCGACTAGCAGATGGGCTCCACTGCTCCAGAGGCTCGTACAGGCGACCAGGCCGCTCTAGACGGCGCCCAGGCCCTATACGCTACCCTACAGACGGTGGCGGCATTGCCGACCGATCCCCGTGTAGTGGTGTTATTATAGCAATTACGTATATAATTAATACAACGCCAGTCATAGGACAACCAGGATGACGGAGGCCAAAATTTTCGTCCCTAGCTCGGTATTGCTCCGATATCCAACATACTAATATTGCGCACCAAGCAAAAAGCCACTCCGGTACTTTTTTCTTTCTTCAACCGTTCTTCAACCGCTATCTTGATTATTTGGACCCCTCGCCAACGGCGCTAGGTTCATTGTCTATTGCGCTCAGATCTACTTTGTTGCCACTGGCTACTCCTGACTCTATCAACTCCAAGGAACTCGCTGTCTCCTATCTACCATCAAGCAACCACCGACGTATACCGCATCTCTCGAAGTGCCCCAACCACAGACCTCCATTGATCTGACTCGTTCGCCAAATCTCACGTTGGAGAACTCCTTATCGCGCAGGCATTGTGAGGCCGTCCTCGCTCTTGTCTGCCTCAGCTACCTGCGGAACTAGTTCCCCGAAACCTTCAAGTTGGCTCAATTCGCTCAATTAAAGCCTCTCTTCTCTTCGCTTCCTAGCCCACGCTGCTGGGTCTATAGCGGAGTCAACAAGAAACCCCCATAACTGGCCCTACTCGACTTCAGACACAGCGTTTCAATTTCGACCCCAAGCCTATCTCTCCCCGACATCATTCCGGGACCACACCGGACTGATATCGTCACGTTGACACCGCATAAGGACTCGGCGCGCCCCTGCCGCGCCGGGCTGACAGTCCGCGACTAATTCAAGTTGTGGTCAAGTTGTTGGTTCTCAAACCATGTCTACTACCGTTTAGAGGAAGCATCGCTTTTTCGTTTTCAGACCTACCCAGCGCCTGGTAGCGTATTGTTTCCCGCCCTCGATCTTTACTTTGCTCGACTTTCAGCTACAGCAGTCTTTCCCGCGTTAGAATAGCCTCGATTCAACAAAATGTCCGATCACGAAGAGTCTGGACCCAACACTGGGTACGACACCCCAATCCCCGAACTTGACGACCACCGACACCAGGTGGCATCCCCTCAGAGACAAGAGCGTCCCCGTCGTGGAACATTTGATAGCCTTTACGGCTCACGGCAGATGGGCTCCGAGCCCACCTCCCCTGAGATTGTTGTCCGTGACTTTGAAGAAGCTATCATAGACGAGGAGGGAGATGTCGTTCAGACTAGTCGGCGCAATCGCCGGGGGACCGTTGAAACCATTCCCGATGGACGATCTGTCTCTCCGCCAAACTCAGTGAAGGCATTCGCTGCTGCCCGGCGCCGTGAACGGGACCTGTCGTTCTCAGAACCCAAAGTTGATGCGGATGATACCCTCAGTCGAGTTCTGTCAATCTCGAGCCGTCGCAGCGGCCGAAGCAAGTCTCGAACTGTCGACAAGGCTGCCAGTGTCCTATCAAACAACACTGCCGAGGAAGACGTATGCTTTCCCCTCCCAGAGACTTACAGGAAGGATCAGCTTCACATTGATTTTGATTTCCTGGAGAACTTTATCAATGCGGAGCGTGATGCTCACGTGGAGACTCGTGAGGAAGCTGCCACAGCTTCCTTCCAGGATGCCCGGCTACAACCTGCTGAGAGTCGTCACACGGTCGTCACTGTGGACGGGGATATAATGGATCTGCCATCTGATGAGTCCACCGGACAAGAGAAGGAGAAAGAAGCCGCTGCGGCGCCATCGCCACACAAGCCGCAAACGAACCCCATCGATCACAATCGGTTCAGTTTCTTCTCCTCGGCATGGGAGTCAACCATCCATGCCGCAGAGATGGCTGATCTCGTCCTTCCCGGAGAGGATATCCGTGGCCTCTTTGAGCTTCCAAAGGATGAGGCCGATGGCGTGTGGTGGCTGAACTGCAACCACGCAACCAAAGAAGAGGTTCAGGGCATCTGCAAGGCGTTTGGGATTCACCCCCTGACGATTGAGGATATTGTCACCCAGGAAGCTCGCGAGAAGATTGAACTTTTCCCGTCTTACTATTTTGCATGCTTCAGGTCCTTTAACATTGTCGAGGAAGAAGACGGAAAGGAATATGAGCCATTCAATATCTACGTCATCGTTTTTCGTGAGGGCACACTGAGCTTCAGTTTCGCTCCAAACGGTCACGCCTCTCAGGTACGAAAGAGGATTACGGCGTTGAAGGACTATGTTTCTCTAAGCAGCGATTGGATCTGCTATGCTTTGATGTAAGTATAATTACCATTTCATGGACAGTGTATCTTGAACTTGAAACTAACATAACTACAGCGATAACATTGTGGACGAATTCGGTCCCGTTATTCGACAGATTGAACTTGAGGCGGATGCCATCGAGGATGAAGTGTTCGTCATGCGAGACGACGATTCAAGCTCCTTCCTGAGGCGAATCGGCCAGGTCCGCAAGAACTGTATGGCTTTGCTTCGTCTACTCGGTGGCAAGGCGGACGTCCTGCGTGGTTTCACCAAGCGATGCAACGAAAACTACCAGGTCACCCCACGGATGGATATTGGAATGTATCTTGGCGATATCCAGGATCACGTTGTGACCATGGCTACCAACTTGGGACACTTCGAGAAGATCCTGTCCCGAGCCCACAGCAATTATTTGGCTATCCTGTCCATCAACAACATCTCCCAGGGTACAGATACCAACCGCGTTCTTAGCAAGATTACTTTCCTGGCATCGGTTCTGGTTCCTCTGAACTTGGTCAGCGGTGTGTTTGGTATGAACGTGCCAGTTCCTTTCGTTGGAGCAGACAAGGACAACCTGGCTCCATTCTTCACCATCATTGGCGTCATGGCTGCGATATGCGCAATTATTCTCAGCTGGGCTCGTTGGGCTCGCTACATCTAATATTGCTGTAGATATCTTCTGGTCACCTCCTGTATGTACGCTGTCTTATAGTTTGAAATGTCAATATTGTTTCTAGTGGGAATAGAATGGACTTTTGTATCCTATCTGAGATGAACATATATTATATTTGGTTTCCGACAGTGAGATCTTGACAAACTGAGCGATGCTCCTGAGGAAAGGATTTTCTATGACGTTGCCCGATATCACAGGTCCCCCGCGCTACAGGGTAAGTTGTCATCTAGTGGACCTGGAACATCCCAGCATCGTCATGTCATTGGCTGAATTGGGACAATAGATTCTTCACTTTCTCAAATTCTGCGTTGAAGAAAGCAAACCACGCCCGACCATTCTCGTATAACGTCAGACGATACCGCAACCATGAGCCTGTCACAGAGCCCCCTCGATGGTCTTAACCTCGAATCACTGAATGACCAGGACAAGGCCGAGATCCGCCAGTTCCTGAACAAGCAGCAGCAGCGCTCCCAGATCCAGGCCCGTACGTGCTCTCGCCCGCCTCCTGCTCCCCGATGACTATTTTGCTAGCCAGAGGAAAGACTAATTGGTTTTCGCCGCAATAGAAACACACCAGCTGACCCAGGTCTGCTGGACCAAGTGCGTCCCGGGCGCTGTCAAGAGCGGGAAGCTCGACAAGACCGAGGAGACCTGCCTGGCCAACTGCGTCAACCGCTTCATGGACCTCAATCTCCTGACGGTGAAGCACCTTCAGAACATGCGAAGCAACTAGTTGATCTATGATAAAGATGATGGTGTATTTGTCTGCGTATGGACTGTTTGGGTAGGCAATCTGGCCTGGTTTTATGATGGATTGGATGGGAAAACGAAAACTTCACTCTATGATTGGTGAATTGGTGTCCAAAAATAATAGACGGCGCATAGATTTTGTACACTAGATGTAATATTTAAGGCCGGCGGTCTATAAGGTATGCCAAAGCAAAACCTGTCCATATAGGCATCACGATTACATGTCACTCAATAGCTTTGTGTGGTTGCAGAGCATGTTTTTCGGGTACTGATTGGCCTTTGAATTCATCATCATTTTTGTCCTAGCAATAATCTAATACGCCTTTTCCGATGCCTGTTACTCTCAAAGCTGGTGGCCAAACCAGGCCGAAAAAAAAAAATTCACACATATCCGCAACGCTTTTTCCCGGGAACCATATTTATACGAGCGACAGCTTGTTGGCGGCGATGTCGAGGGCATCGACGTCAGGGGTGAGGCGGGCGTAGGCCTTCTTGGAACCATCGGGGCTGTGAGGGTGTCAGTATTTGGAACGGATGGATAGTTCAGCGCTCGAGAGTGACTGAACATACCGGATGAGGGTGTTGATCTTGACGGTGTCGATGTCGTAGAGCTTCTTGAGGGCCTGCTTGATCTGGGCCTTGTTGGCCTTGATGTCGACGATGACTGGGCAAACACGTAAGTTTCGAGAATGCTCATGAGGAGCTGAAGTATGAACGTACAGACGAGGGTGTTGTGCTCCTCCATCTTCTTCATGGCGCTCTCAGTGTTGAGAGGGTGGATGACGATCTTGTGCTCATCGAGACGGGGCAAGTGAGGGATGGACTTGCGGGGGTACTTGGGAGCACGGGCGGCGATGAGGGTCTTGGGGCGGTGGAAAGAGGTGCTCAGGCGGACCTTGCGGTTCTTGCTGGAGTGAGTCTATTCAGAGAGATGTTAGCTGCTGCCGGACAACACACAACAGTTCGCCATCGAGAGCCAATTCCAACTTACACCCTTGAGAGCAGCCTTGGCGGCAGCGTTGGCCTGCTTGGTGCCCTTGGGGGCGGCTATATATCACACACGCATCAGCAATCGCTCTTGTTCAGAACTCGCAAAATCTGCTGCTGCCATGATGCGGGACGGGGGCGGGTTGCCCATTTTCGTCGTCGCCAAATCGCAGGGCGTCTTCGTGCGCAGTATCCAATCCGAGATTTGTTTCATGTCGTACCTTTCTTGCCCTTGGTAGCGTCCTTTCCGGCCATTGCGTCGGTATTGAGTGGCAGCTTTGTTGTGCTGGATGGTTAGTTGTCAACGGGATGAGGAGTTCGAAATTCCGAAAAAGTTTCAGCCCAAAAATGACTTGTGGTAGCGGACCTGTGGGTGGCCTCGATTAGGGTTGCAGGGATGCTAGAGAATGTGATTGGGCAGGCATTTTCTAATCGGCAGTACAGGTCACGTGTTGATAGATGCTCGCTACCTTCATTCCAACTGGAAAATCATCGGATACAATCGTGTTAGCGGATTGGATGCCGTAGTGGGTCGGCGAGCCAGACAATTTCAGCGAGCAGTTGAATCAAAGGCCTGAAAAGGCTATGTGCATTTACGTTTCGAAGGTTGCAGAGTGAACTTCAGAGGTTATCATGCTGAATTGAAGCTCAAATCATCCTCCTCGTATGCCTGTTCTGCATCTTACAATACTCACAGTTGCGGTGATCTGATCATCCCGTGGAAGCTGAACATCTGGAGCTTCACCTGGACATGGACAAACATGGTTTCCACTAAAAACCAAAGGTTGAAAAGCCTCAAGGCTGGGCGTCCTCCACTAGCCAAGTCTTCGAGGACAATGTCCCGAAGAGCCAGTAGAGCTCTGATAAACAACCATCACCAGCTGCACAAGAAGCGTCGCCAGGCAATCGTACAGGGCGACAAGGCAACAGAGACGGCTTTAAACGAAGAGCTGGCTAAACTTGGAGGCCTTGAGAAGTACCAAAAGGCGAGTCTTCAGGGGCAAAGCCAAGATCGCGGTGGGGACACGTCAAAGGTTCTGCTAGAATGGCTTCCAGTTACGGAACTCAGAAAATCGGAGCGGAAGCTAAGGATGCTTGAAGTTGGTTCTTTGAGCACGCAGAACGCATGTACGACATCGGGACTGTTTGATATGGTGCATATCGATTTAAACAGTCAGGAGCCTGGCATTGAACAGCAAGACTTCATGGAGCGACCGCTACCGGGAGACGAGTCAGAGAAGTTTGACATCATTTCATTGAGCCTTGTTCTCAATTACGTCCCAGAGGCTGAGGGTCGCGGCCAGATGTTATACCGAACGCTTTCTTTCCTACGGGAGACATCAGAACAATCCCATCCTGGTGTGGTAGGGCCTACATTTCCAGCATTATTCGTTGTATTACCTCGAAGCTGTGTCACGAATTCACGGTATTTTACGGAGGAGAGGCTGGAGGAGCTCATGAACGCACTGGGATACCAGAAGCTGAGAGACAAGTTGACGCAAAAATTGACTTACAGTCTCTGGAAGAGAGTGGGTGATCCTGCCGATAGAAGGAAGTTTCCAAAGAAGGAGCTAAACCCCGGCAAAACTCGAAATAATTTTGTCATCACGCTTGGATAACGCAGTGCCGAAATGACTGGACCTCTCGATAGTGAAAATCGGTTTTGGTCATGACTGACACAGAGTGTAAAACCACAACAACCCAATGGTTCGGGCTTCCTTCGACGAGATACATCAAGCTAGTCAAAACTGTGACTACAATTTATCGAACCGGCTCATATTGCCAATCATGGATATAGCAGCGGTTGAGCTAGATTATCCTCTACCAAAATGAGACCGTTGGCCGCTTTAGTTGATAAACAAAAGACGAGTATGACACTGCTCAGGCTCTCCAGCCCCCCTTGGCACATGCCGGTGCCATTCTCCGTCTCAAGATGAGTTGAGCACCTCGTGTCTAGAAAGTTCGATTCGCCTTGGTCATTGCCAGGCATCCGAGTATCGGATCAATGTACCAGCCACCCCCTTGCTAACCAGCTATGAGGAAGCCAATTTGAACTGGTCAACAGCAACCTTGGCTAGGGGGTGCTCATCGGGCAAAGGTGCATTGCCAGGCCTCACTACAGGCACACTCTGCATCCCAGCCCCCCGTGCAGCCTCCACTTCTTGGAGGTTGTCGCTCAGGAAGAGCCAGCGGCCAGGGGCGACCTCAGGATGGCTGGCCAGGATTGCCTCATAGCTGGCCACGTTGACCTTGAGCCCCGCATTGACAGTATCAAACCAGTCCAAGATGAGTGGCTGGAGATCGCTTGGCTGGGCATTCGTATGCCCAAAGAGGAGTTTCTGGGCCGGTACGGAGCCTGATGAGTAGATCATGATCTTCCTTCCGCTGGCGTGAACCTCCTTCATAAAGGGTGCCACATCGGGGAAAAGAGGGGCTTTGATCTCGCCGGAGGCATACCCTGCCTTCCATATGTAACCTTGGAGTGCCTTGAGATAAGACACCTTGACGTCTCGAGCGACAAGGTCCCGGAAGTGGGCCTCAAAAGCTGCCCGGTCATCGCGATACTCTTCAGGGAAGGCATTGCGATATTGTGCGAGCTCCGCGTCATCCCACTTCTGTTCCAATAGCTTGGGGAGCGCATTAACAGCGTAGGGAAACTAAGGGCAGAGATTTCATGCAGTTAGTTTGATTCAAAATGCACAGTATTGCAGGGGGCGGGTGTATGGGCAACTAGGTAGATCGACAGGGACGGAGGTTTTGCAAATGCCGGGCGGCATGGCAAAGAGGCGGACAGGGAACAAGACAATGAGATCGGGCTGGGGGGACAGGGCCCGGAAACCTACGAGGACGTCCTTGACGAAGGATATGGGACAGACGGTGCCCTCTTCAACCCCGGTCAAACTCCATTGTTAGCTTCAAACAAGAATTGAACACGTGAAGTTCCACCTTGTAATTAAACCGAGAACTTCATATGGATTACCAAGGAGGTAGCTCACCAATATCGAGTAACAACACGTCGAAGTCAGCAAAGCCTGTGGCCATTGTGGAGAGGCGAGATGAGGTGGTATGTGCGCGGGGTCTTGTTGAGGCGGTGAAGTCCAACCCCCTCTGTGCTGTATGATCTGTCTTGGCTTAGATCTCGGAGGATTGGGCTCGTCAATGCACAGGATGGAGTGCCTGCACTATTTTCCCTTATTCCAACAGACGTGGCTGGCAGAATGGCGGTCAGTGTCGGTGTTGATGAAGCGAGATGATGATGAAACCAGCGCAGGATTTTGGCGGAACGGAGTGGGGGAATCTAGCGGCGGTGCTCTGCTTCTCCCTCCGTCTGTCTCGCCGGCTTGGCCCACTTACAGCCATCTGCAATTCGGGGTGAAGTGAGGCAACTCACCGATCTGGATCCAGGCATTACTGTACCAGTGGAAAGTTCAATTCTGATGCTGGTTTCATCATCTCCTATTGTGAGCCATTATCCCAGGTTGTTGGTCGCGACTTATCGTCGATTATTTAACTAGCATTTCTCGTGCACTTCGTTGCTTGATAAACTAAAGCAAAGTTGAACTGAACTTGTTTTTATTTATTTGCGTGCATTGCCTATATTTTGCAGTCTCATCTTTTCCATAGTTACTCCTTGTGTCCCGCAACTAATGTGCTTATTATGGCACTGTAGTGCTTTTATGTCTAGGCCCAGGAGATCTATCATCTACCTCTAACAAACTCACGATGAGCTCACTTCTATGTTTCCGAAGAACACTGCGGGGGTGCCTGGAGCCACTTCCAAGCTCAGCCCGTCTACCACATCCCCAACCTTGGAAGCAGCGCCAAGGAATTGCTCATCTGCGCCAACAAATGCGACATCGGCCTTGCCGTCATCTCGCAGACGAACAATCTCCACGACTTCCAACTTCCTGACACCGGCTCGAAGGCCGGGCACCATTTCCCGGAGTACGTCCGTCTCGCTAAAGGGCAGCTGCCGTTCAAACACACGCTCGGGGGGTTCGCCGCTCTCCAATCGCTTCTTCAAATGTTGCAGGAGCGGCATGGCCTTCTTCATATCCTTCTTGTCAATCTTGGAAATCACGGCCTTGATGTCGGTGTTGCCTTCAGCCTCAAGGTGCTTTTGCAGAACATCTCTGTACCGCTGCTGGAATTCAGGATATTTCTCGGCCACGTATATGGTAAGCTTCTTGCTCTTTGTGGGATCGTATGAGACTTGTTTTCCCTTTTCCTTCTTCTTCACTTGCTTGGCCTCTGCCTGCAATGTATTATTCGTTGTCTGCTTGATGCTGTTCCGATTGTCAGTATGTAGACCATGGGCCACATTTCTAATCAATGATAATGGGTAGTTGGCACTTACTACTCGCGAATAAGTACGAGGATGGGGTCCGGCGGTGAAACAGTAGGGTAAAGAGCACTTTGGATGCTCGAGTCTTTCTTCAGAACCTCGCGCCAAATGTACTCGGACCAGTGAGGAATGATAGGTGTAACCAGGAGAGCTTGCAGCTCGACGAATTGGCGAACAAGGTCAACGTGCATACCAACACCAGCAGCTCGGCAGTTCTCGCGGTACCAGTCACGAGCAGTTTGGAAATCGTAGAAGCCTTTTTTTCTCTGTTAGCTTTAATCCTCGACGTTGAGCAATCTGCAAGAGAAACAAGAAAGCTAGCTTACCTGTCTTCAAGGCAGCCTTATAGAAAGTGCTTCATAAGTTTGTTAGTATGCATAGTTTAGAAAATGAAGCTTTCGAATGTAGACATACCCCTCATAACTCTTCTTAGTTTCAATGACAAGACCGCGAAGGTCATTATCAAAAAGCTTGTCGAAGAAGCTGAGCTCCCCGGTGCGGAGATTGTCCTCTTCAAGAGCATCCTTTGACCACTTCCTGAGTTCGTACAGGCGAAGAATTGCGGAGTTGGCCACCGTCTCTTCGAGGTTAGCATCCTCAATACCATCTCCAGCCTCTGCAAGAGCTAGACGAGCTAAAAGGGAACAGCCAAGATCAGTATGAGGCCGAAAAATAGATACAGTTCAATAAGACTTACTCGCATCTGTTCCATATTTGTTGATCGCTTGGCGCAGTGTCATGAAGTTACCAGTGCTCTTACTCATTTTAGATCCGTTGAGCATGAGGTGACCGTTCACACGGAAACTTCGTGGCCAGAACCGTTTAGGGAACAAAGCGATGTGGTGGTACAAACTGAACGTAAGATGGTTGGTAATAAGATCCTATTGCAGGTTAGTTATGGGCTACTATCAGGGTCTTACCCTTTCAACATACCTTTCCGGAAATTCTGATGTCCATGGGATACCAGTACGAGAATTCCTTGCGCATTGCTGCAAGATCCTCCGGAGCAATATCCGTCGCGACCTTTTCGGAACGGAAGAAGATGTAGTCCCAAACCTCATCTGTCATTTGCTCAGGGGTGATCGGCTTCTTCGAGATACCGGAGTTCTTGCCGAATATGTCACTGTGCAGATAATGACAGATAGTGTAGTAAGCCATGTAGACTGTACTATCAGACAAACTCTCAACAAGCTGGGATGCATCCCATGGAATCTTGGTGCCAAGACCAAAGGAGCGACTGCACGCCCAGTGAGCCAACCAGCCAAGTGCTTGCTCGAACGCATGCTTTGCTTCCGGATAGTAGCAGTTGAATTCCTCCTCGAGGTAGTCAAGAACGGTCTGACACCACTCCCCATCACCTCCATTTTCAGCAGTTCCGTAGTTGAAATACCACTGGTCGAGATACGCAGCAATGCATTCGTCTGCAGAGCGGCTGACCACGAGGCCATCGGGCTCGGCGTACTTGAAAGCAAGATCCTCGTCAGAGAGCTGCTTTCCAACAAGAGTCCTAGCGTCCTGAACTGACTTTCCAGCATAGTCGCCGAAAATCATGGTACCCTGGTAAAAGCCGAGTTTGTATGCAACTTCTTTGGCCTCAGCCAATGGTTTGGCGTCTTTTGGTGAGTTAATCCCAAGCTCCTCGTACAAAGTCTTGGCAATCAGATTTCCCTTGGGGGTTTCGATGAGGGGCACAATATCCTTGTCGACCCATTCCTTCTTGATACCATAAAACTCGGGCTTCTTCTGAAGTTCGAGGGTCGTCGCATAATCATCGGGGCTGTCAGACGGGACGCAAGCAACCACAGCAGTACCCTTGTTGTCCTTCAGGCTCTCCATTGGAAGAATGCGGATACCGTCCTTGTACGCTGACAGAGGTGCGTTTACGAGGGTACCAACCAGGTCGGAGCCTACGAGTTCAGCGATCTGCGTGATAACTCCCCAGCCAGGACTCAAGTTCTGATAAGCCATATTCTATTTCGAAGTTAGGTTGTGATGATCATGAAGAGAATACCACGGGCGGCTGATTGGCAAAACGGGGGCTTGGCGATACTGGTACTGTTTATGGGTAGACTTACTCGGGCCGCACGTGGCGTGGCGACGACATATTCATTCTTCTCAGGAGACAGGGAGAAGACACCATAGTTGACTCTGAGCGAGCGATGTTAGTATGAAAGAGTATATGCCATCTCCTCCAGGAAGAGTATCACTGACTTAGGTCCGACGAAGCAGCACGTCATGCCGTAAACAGTCTCAGGTCGCAGAGTCGCGGGAATA